AATTTATTTTGATTGAAAGATAGAAATCAAAGTCATGTGTGTAACAAATTACTTGAGAGGTAATTTTCAACACAAATACATGCATTTATATAACATTTTCATATGAAATTGCGCACCAAGAGTGCACATCGACATGTTTATGACCAAACAAATATTCACTAATTAAATATATTCCGAATGAATTGTTTTTTGTTACATTATCCTGTATTTTAAAACTTTATTTTATCAAACGAAACATGTTTACTCAAGAACTCGTCGGCTTTATTGGAATATTGTAAATCGTCACAAAGTTTTGGTGATGGAGTGTGGATGTAAAAACTCTAAATATGGTGATACCTTAGTGCATCTCCAACCACACTTTAAAATTGACGTTTCAACTGCATTAATGCCGCCGCCATGCTCCAATCGAACGCCAATTTCAACACCATTTTTGGTGTTTGCTACAGTGCAACACCATTTTTGGTGTTGCACTGTAGCATACGTCATTTATGGTTTGCTTGTTTTATATATATATATATATATTAATTTTTAAAATTATAAATTTGATTTATAAATTTAATTTTTATTTTTTAGAATTTTAAAAAAATTATTTAAAATTATAAAAATAAAAAGTTGTTTAAAATTATAGGAAAAATTGAATATTTGAAAAATAATAGGGAAAAATGGAGTTATGGCTGGAGTAAAATTACCGTAGCAACTGCATATTTGGACATGGAATTGATGGGTTGGAGATAGGCTTAAGAAATCACAAAATTTACTTTGATGGAAGAATACAAAAAAAAAAAAAAAAATAAGAGTTAATTTCATTTTAAACATGTAATTTATATGTACTTTGGCTTTATGATTCTTCCACAATATAAAATTTTAACGAATAAACAATGATTTTGGAATATAACAATTGTCTTTGAAACAATGCTAAGAAGGTAATAACAAATATTTTTGGAAATATTACTCATTAGAATCAGACAAAAGAAATTGGAATTAAGAAAACATGTCCATATTACTACAAACAAAATTCATAGAAAAATAAATAGATTGAATATTAAATTTTCATGTTCAGCACGAAATCTGATCCATATAAACACTAGATCAGATGTTAATGTTAAAAAATATTAGTATATAGATTAAACAAAATTAAATTCTTAATTGTTTTATATATTTTTAATAAAATTAATTGTACGTGATCAAATATGATATAATTATTTAATTAACAATCAACTCATCAATGTGAATTTAACCAATAATAATTAATATTTTTTTGGCACAGGATATATAGTACCACATTACTTAATATATAATTATTAAAATTTTGTAATAATTTATTATATATGATTTTGTGGGCGTCAATCTTTGAATTTTAAAGACACATATAAAAGACCAATACGTTAAGCAGCTCACCGAGATAAATTTGTGCGCTACTCTTTATGCCATAAAGAGCGCAGATTCATCGTCCGCACAAGAGACGACTCTAAGAATTACCAAAGAGCGTGCGCATCTGAAAACTGGAAATGCTCGGATATACCAAACCAAGAGTGAGTGTTATAACAGTAGATTTCGTAAGATTATTTGAAATATACAACATGTGATATCTTTATTCTATTATATATTTAATCCAAATTGGATGCAAATAAATGACGCTTGATGATATTGTTTGGATTTTTGGAATAGATTATCTTATGATGCTGCTGAGGAGAGGGAAGGCCGGAAAGCCGTGTGTGATGGTTGTGACATGTGCCGGTTCGAGGATTGTAATTGCCCGGAATGCGCCAATTTCATTTTAAACATGTAATTTATATGCATTTTGTCTTTACGATTCTTATACGATAAGAAATTTTAACGAATAAATAATAACTTTTGATTGAAACAGTTGTATTTGAAATGATGTTAGAAAAAAAAAAAAAAAAAAAAGTACTAACGAACAATTTTAAAAATATTATTCAAAAGAATCAGAAAAGGATAAACTACAATTAAGAAAACATGCCCCTATTGTTACAAATAAAATTCATAGAGAATTAAATAGATTGAATATTATATTTTCATGTTAAGCACGAAATCCGATCTATATAAACACTATATTAAATGTTAATGTTAAAAAAATATTAGTAAATATTAAACAAAATTCAATTGTTAATTATTTGATATATTTTTTAAGAAAACTAATAGTGATTAAATATGAGGTAATTATTTCATTATTTAATTTACCAAATCACACCAATGTGTGAATATATTCAAAAATTAAATTTAATACACAAATAATGTGCATAGGGATAATAAATCAATTCATTGGATATGAGATTAAGAGTTTGTTTAGTTGTATTTTCTCTCATATATTTTCACTATTTATTTATAGTAATTTAATTTTTCTTCAAACAAACCGAATACTTACCAAATAAACTCTAAATATTTTGTAGCGGACGTCAATCCCCCAGATATAAATTTTTTTACTCCGGGATTAACAAATATTTTCACTTGCATAAACCTAATGAAGTTGGCCTCTTAATTCATTTGGCTTTGCCGATTTGATTACAACATAAAATACTTGAATTTGTGACAAGATGATGGTAATAATAATAATAATAGTCGTATTCATCCCGTGAGGCTTCAAGTAATAGTTGTGTGCGATTTATTGTTTTATTGACTGTTAGTTTGCCCACGGCTTCGTCCCATAAGAGAAGTACAAGCTACTATATGTGTCAAGTAATAAGATTGTCACGCTACAAGAAAAAATCATTTTTTGTACAAAACCTTTTTGTCTTTAAATCTATTTTTTCCATTGCTAATGACATTAGAGACGAAATTAGTAATAAAATTACGTTAGCTACGTGAACTTTAGGGACGAAATTCTGTTACAAATATATTATTATTTTGTAGTGCCATGTCAGCAATCGATCACTACAACAATAATATCTCTCTTTATCTTTAATACTAACTTAACAAGTTTGCTGACAATCTACTTCTCTAAATACATCTTATAAATGAATCTTTTAAGCTCATGTATCATGCACATTGATTGAACTAGAATAGTCATTTACAGAAAGTATTTTTTATTTTAGTAGGTTAATTAAATTAATTTATTAATATAATAATAAAAAATTGAAAAATAAAAAATAAAAAAGACATACATAAACACGTCCTCGATGTTTCTACTGGACTCTACCTTCACATTTTTGGTTAATAATCCTCACATCTGACTGATTGTGCTGTTTGTTTTGTCCAACTTTACTATTTTATTTTCAAATAGGTGACACTAATAATAAATTGTGTGCATTGGCTTTTTATCAATAGATATGAGTTCTAGAGACAACACGCGCTTATTTTGAGAGTTGTCCACCAAATATATTTATTACAGATTTTGTTGCAACACAGATTTTTTGTACTGCGATTTTTCGTAGCGGTCAAAATCCGTAACAAAGTCGACACAAAAATTTATTTTGCACGAAAAATGGGTTTTGGTTACAAATATTTGAACGTTACAAAAATATTTTTTTTTTGGTAGTGAAGAGAGGAGGAAAGTGATGACACTCCCGATGCAAGTGTCGATGATCTGGGCGACATGTGGAGTGAGCAGTGACGGAACCAGCTTTGCGGCTTCGGAGGGCAAAATTGTCATGTTTATTTGTTTCGTCTTTTTACCGTTTATTTTTAGTTTCAACCTATTTCGAACATGTTTTTTATTTGAAACAACCATTCGATTGTTAGTGTTTACAAAAAATAATATAAGAACTTTTTCGTCGATTCATTTCTACCAACTTAATGTCATCTTAACTTTTTCAATTTTCATTAATACTATAATATGATTGTGAAGAAGAAAAAAAATGAACAGAACAAAAAAAATTGTAGGTCATTACAAAATATAACAATATTTAAGATAAAATATTTTATTTTTTATATAATATATTTATAACTAAAAAATTAGATATTATTATAAATTAAAATAATAATAATATGAAGGTTTATGTAGAGTATTAATCCTAAATTGTCCTAGAGGCTTTCATATTTACATTATTTTTGACTTGTTGCAGGATGTCTTCAAAACTACTCACCACGAGAAAGAAATTATGGTGATGACGAAAAAGAGTGTGAACATTCTTTTATATTCAAGGATGATATTGGCGATATTTGTCACATTTATGGGATTATTAAAAGACGAATCAAATCAATTATCGAATACATACAATTTCCCCAAGCTCTGGTTTTTCATTCACTATGCAGTTAGTTTTTAGTTTCTTAGGATTCTGTTTACTTGCATTTTCGAAATTTCTTTCACGCTACTTATCCAAAAAAAAAAAAAAATTCTAAATTACGTTTTCAAAACTATTTTTACACTATTTATTGAATTTTCTTTTCAAAAAGGCATGAAATATAGGAGGAGGATGAATGTTTTTGACAAAAGAAATTGTTAGGATAGCAAGTTCATGGTTAATTTTTCGATCATGTTGGTGATTTTATTTATATATATAATGGATGATAGTACAATAAATCTAGTCCATTATTTGGAACTAGAAGACTTTAGAGTATCTAAATAGATAACGAAAGTTTATAAATGCTCGACGAGATTACATAATATATTCGTTGTATTTACTCATTATTTCAGGAGCAAAATAGATAGTACGAGGTGATTTATAATAATTATATAGAAATAAATAGTACAACTAAATATGGTTGTACTTGGAGACTGACATTAATAGATTATATGTAAGAAGATTTAAATCTAAGTATCCCTATAAAATATTATAAGTAATAATAGTTAATTACATTAGATAGTAAAAAATAGTATAAAAATAATTTTGCTTTTTTTTTTTGGTAAAAATAATAATGTAATGATACAATATGATATTTTTTGAAAAACAAATATATGATTTATAACTATTAAAAAAATGATTATTTTATAATAGGTTAATTTAAAAAAAAAAAAAAAAAGTATCCAACATTATTTAAATCAGAAGTTAAAACCTCCAAAATCAATAAAATAAATACACCCCTAGAGACACTGCGTATAAACAAACACCTTCATCAAACTTATTACCAAAGGTTCATCATGAAAGGCATCCATCCATGGCTGATGGCTCCTCCTCCTTATTCTTTCCACAAAAACAAACCAATCCTTTTCACAATTTGGAGGCCAGTGGCTCTCCTTGCCTCTCAGACAACATCAGCTCCCGCCGCAAAATCTTTCCGGCAGCCGACTTCGGCACTGCGCCGACGAACCTCACCCCTCGGATTTTCTTGTACGGCGCCACCTGCCTCGCCACAAACTCCATCACTTGATCTTCTGTAAGATCGTCATTCCCTGCGCCTTTCACGACGTACGCTATAGGTATCTGCCCTGCTTCTTCATCTTCAACTCTGCAATGCATCCACAATTGTATTTCAATGTATAGAATCGAATCGAATCAAATCAAATTTTATATGTAATGAATCGCAGCGCGCTTACGGTACAACTGCTGCGTCGACTATTCGAGGATGGCTTGTTAGCACTGCCTCCAACTCTGCCGGAGCCACCTGCATTGTTCGTCTCGATTGTTTGAAGACTATATAATATATAATTAATTAATGGTAAAATTGTTCACAACTCTCATTTGGTTTAGAAATTCAGCGTAAATCTCCTTTACTTTAAAAATTGCATGGCGCTTCCTTATATTTTCAAAAATGTTGCATGGAACGCCTATGTGGTTTCGAAATTCAGTGTAAATCCCTACTTTACTTTAAAAATTGCACGGCGCTTCTTATATTCTTAAAAATGTTTGCATAAAACTCTTATGTGGTTTTGAAACTTAGAGTAAATCTCCATTTTACTTTAAAAATTGAATGGCGCTTCCTTATATTTTCAAAAATATTGCATGAAACTCCTATATAGTTTCGAAACTCAGCCTAAATCCCCACTTTACTTTAAAAATTGCATGGCTCTCCCTTCTATTTTCAAAAATGTTGCATGAAACCTCCTGACATGCAAAAACTATAGATAGGAAATTATCTTCTCATCACACAAGGTGGTGGGGTTTCATACAACATTTTTTAAAGTACAAGGGGCGTCATGAAATTTTTAAAGTATAGAGATTGTACACTGAATTTTGAAACTACTGAGTTATGGACAATTTTACCTTAAGTAATTATGTAATTTTTTATTACTTTAAATTTTTAGGTGAGATGATCGTTTAATTTAATATTGTCATGCACCTGATAGCCATTGTATTTGATCAACTCCTTTATCCGATCGACGATGTAGACGTACCCCTCGTCATCAAAGTAACAAAGGTCGCCGGTTTTCAGCCACCCCTCTGGATCGAACGCCGCATCGTTCGCCTCCTTGTTTCCGAGGTACTCCTTCATCACGGTCGGGCTCTTTAGCCACAACTCTCCTTCCCCATACGGCGGAAGCGCCGCTCCCGTCGCGGGGTCAACCACTTTAGCGCTAAAAGACGGAAGCAACCTTGCTGACGAACCCGGCCGAGATTTCGATTCTTGATCCGTGGCGAAAAAAGTAGTCGCTCCACAGCTCTCGGTTAACCCGTAGCCAGTCCGGAGCTCGACCCACGGGAACTTCTTCCTGAATGCCTCGGCGAGCTCTTTGCTCAACGGGGCAGCCCCCGACCCCATCCGTCGCAACGACGACAAGTTGTGCGATCGGCTGTCGTGCTTAACCAGCGCGAGTATCACCGGCGGGACTGCTGGTATGTTTCTGACCTTATGCTTCTGTATAGCCTCTAACATTTCCTGGAAATCGTACCGCCGCATTACGACGGTCGTGCTGCCGGTGCAGAACAGTCCGAGCCCGAAGAACACGAGACCGTAGATATGGAACATCGGGACGAAGCATAGGAACACGTCGTCGTTAGATTTTGACTGTTCCATCGACCACTTGAACATCGTCACGACAGCAATGAAGTTCGCGTGCGTTAACACGACGCCTTTGCTTGTCCCGGTAGTCCCCGACGAGTAAAGTATTGCTGCCGTATCCGATTGCCTCGGCTTTTGCTCTGCCGGGATGTCTATCGGTTCGCAATTCTCGATCAACTCTTCTACCGAGAGGTCGTTTCGGCGATCGTCATTGACGGTAGGTCCGGTGGTCGGGAGCACGGGTAGACCGGTTTCCGACAATTTGTGCATCTCTTGGGGTGCGGCGATCGCTAACTTTGCGCCGGAGTCGCGAGCTTGCTTGGCAATCTCCGCCGCCGTGTTGAGCGGATTCGCGGTGGTTACGACCGCCCCGATGGAGAGCACGGCGAGGCACACGACGGGGTACGTCACCGAGTTGGGCGACAAGACGAGAACGACGTCGCCCTTTACGATGCCAAGGCAAAGGTGCAATCCGGCGGCGAGGGAGGCGACGGAGCGGGCGACGTGAGCATAGGTGACCCGGTGGCCGGTGGCGGAGTCGATAAGCGCGACTCGTGCTTCGGCCAGCTTCGACGATGGAAAGTGCGACAATACATGTGTAGCAGCGTCGAGGCGGGGATCGGTCGGGATTTTCGAATGGTGGTCGAAATGAACGAGGGAGGAGTAGATTCCGGTCTGCGGATCGAAGCCGCTCCTTGTGGCGGCGCCGCCGCCGGCCGGCGGAGGCGGTTTTCCTTCCGGTGGAATGGCCATTGATGAATTGTTGATTGATGTATGTGTTGCATGTTGTGTGCGGGTAATAAATAAGGTTTCAATAATTAATTGATTAATTAAGTGTAGAATTAGAAAGAGGCATACAATACACACTCATCCATGGACCATGCAATGGATGTAAATTGATTATTTTATTTAAATTGATTATTTTATTTAATTTTATTTTGGTTGGCGGCCGGCCGGCCGGGGTAGGGGTAGGGGGTAGGGGTAGGGGTAATGTAACGGGAAATGTTGGTTATGTTTTGTTGCATTTGGACAGTGAATATTTGTTTATTTGTATCTGTGGATTGTTCGAGAAGAATATTGACAATTTCTACTGAAAGTGGATCTGTCTGTTGAAAAGGTTGTTGGGCTTTGAAATCTCCGATGATGCTGTATGTTATATTACGCGATGTGGACTTGAATGGCAACGCGGTTTGGATACACTCTATACTAGATTGCAATTCAATTTATTTAACTGAAATTCGATTTTTTTTTTAATTTATTATAATTTTATATACAAATTTTGAAAGTTTCAATTTAGAAATTTCTAAAAATGTGGTTAGTGTGTGGTATTTTTGGTTTTTTTTTTTAAATTTATTTATTATTATGTTTTAATTTTTAGTTAAATTGTAAATTAAATACTATGCTTTGTAAAAGGCCGGTGTTTTTTTTTTTTTTTCACATTCTTTTACAGTCATTTTTGTTTTTCGAAAATATCAAATCAAATAATAATTTTATTTTTATATTAGAGTACTATTGTATTTTTTTACATTGAAAATATCACATTATACCTATTTACATCATATCAAATATCTATGGCGGGTTTATGAAGTCCGCGGACTATGCGCCTGCTCGGGGTTATTCAAGCATGGATTGTGACAGTATTGATCGATAGTTCGATAGTGGTGCTAGCCATAACTTTATATCATCTTCCTTAGTGGATCGATTTGCGACTACAACCCAACGTACAGGAAGATTTGGAATTCAGTTGGGGGATGGACCACTACCAGAAAATTAGGCTATAGTTGCGGTAAAAAAGTCACTGTTTTAGTACAAATTGGTGACTTTTTACTAAAAAGTCACGGAAAAATATACGGAACCATTTCCGTTGAATTTTGCTAGTGACTTTTTTTAAGTTGTGACATTTTTGTAACAATAAGTTATAGAATAATATTATGACATATCCGTGACTTTATATAACAATAGAAGCTGCAACAAAATTTCATGAATATTTTATAATTGTGACATTTTCGTGACAATAAGTTACAAAATAATACCATTACACTTCTGTGACTTTATATTAACGAAAGCTGTAACAATTTCGTGATTTTATATTTTTGAAAAAAATAATAATTATATTATAATTTTTGTTCAATGCAACCACACACGATTATTTTTTTTTAAAGACTTACACGACATGTCATGTCAACTTAGCTATCTACTCTAAAGTATTATTTTTGTTTGTTATTATATTTTAACTATATAAATATTATTGATTATAAATTTATCTTTTAAAAATATATACATATTTATTTCATATATCATCATGAATTTTTAACAAAAATTGAATAACTACGAACGATATTGAATAAAGATATTGAAGATGATTTTATTATTTTGTTATTACTTTGAATAGCTACAAACAATAATAAAAAAAATTTATAGTTATTTTCGTTACATATGCTGTGACATTTGATTTTAAAAAGTCATAAAAATTATACTATGACAATATCTGTAATAATTTAAAATGTTGGAAATATTTTGGTTATTTTTGCCGCAACTTAAAATAGTCAAGAAAAAATTTCGTGACAATTTTTGTGACGAAATAATCAAAAGACACGGAATAGAAATATCTTGGACATTTTCGTTACATAAGCCGTTATTTTAAATAGTCACAGAAAGTTGTTTGTAGTTTTTTCTACAAATATTACTTACGGAATAGTCAAAACAAAAAGTTGTGACATAAATTTGTCATGAAATTACTTTCCGTGACTTTTAATTATCATGGATTAAAATTTGCGACAAATTTCCGCAATTATCAACCTTTTTTCTAGTAGTGGACGGAGGCAGGAATCTGCAGGAGTGTGCCCGGGTATTATAGTCTCCTTATCCGAGTGCGAGGTAACCACCGATTGTTTTGTATTTTCACTGGGAGGGGTTGATATTATTTTGGTCATAGCCTGGCTGGCCACGCTAGGCGAAGTGCGAACCAATTGGGAAGCCCTAACGATGTCATTTGAGTGGAAATGGAAACGAGTGTTGCTGAAGGGTGACCAACTCTCTGAATAAGCTTGAAGATGTTAAGTCGAGTTCATGGTGCTGAATTTTGGGCAATGGTATTGGGGAACGAGCCTATGAGAGCCATAAAATCAAAGCGTGACAGCTCAAGGATATCCTGCAATAATTTACAGAGATATTTGAGGAGCCACAGGGTTTGCCACCGAGACGGCTAACTGACCATCGCATAGAGCTGACCCCCGAAACAAAGCTGGTGTCTGTTCGACCATACCGATATAGTCATATTCGGAAAGATGAGATTGAGAAATTGGTGGGCAATATGCTAATGGCAGGAAGTATTTGACCGAGCTTGAGCCCCTTCTCCAGCCCGGTTTTACTAATGAAGAAGAAAGAAGGAAGTTGGCGTTTTTGTGTTGATTACAGAGAATTAAATAAAGTAATGATTCCAGATAAATATGACGAATTGGCAAGAGCGGTCATTTTCTCGGAAATTGATTTGCGGTCAGGGTACCATCATATTAGGGTGGTGGCCTGTGACATCCACAAGACGGCATTCCGGACGCCAACGCGATAAAGATGAAATTATAATTAAATGGGTGGGACAACCAGACGATGAGACGACTTGGTTGACCGTGGCTCATTTCCCGCGTCAGTTTTCAGACTTTGACCTTAAGGACAAGGTGAATTTGAAAAAGGAATAAATTGTTAGAGAGCAACAACAAGATGAGCAAGGAATCGAGATGCAAAACGAAGAGGAGCCTCGCCCATTATTTCCTATTACTTATTTATGTGCATTTTTTTTAGATGTTACCAACATTTATGCAACATTATTTCCTATTACTTATTTATGTGCATTTTTTTTAAGATGTTACCAACATTTATGCAAGCAACCTTTACATAAAAACCATATCTTCCCCGTGAGAAAGAAAAGTATATATTTTTTTATATATAAAAATTGAAAGACACCACTCGATATGCGATGAAATTCATATATATATATATATATACATATACGTATATAACTGTTCGTTGTTCCTATACTCATAAAACTATTAGTGACCTGATATATATATATAAATAAACAGTACAAAGATATATAATACAAAAATAATCCATACAATACATTCTAAGATCATTTAACTAACTCACGGTATATAGACAAATTGTAAAAATTCCCGACAAAGAATAACAAAACATCGGAAGGAGAATGTCTGAAACTTATCATCAGAGGCAGCCACAGATAGGTACACACCAGACATACATACATAAAACGTAACATATATATATATATATATATATATAATATATATGCTTCAAGCATTACCCTCCCTATTCACAAATCATCAGCAGGCATCATTACCAGTAAATGCAAAAAAACCAAAAAAAAACACAGAACTTCACACATTGTCAAAACGCACCTTAAAACCCAATTTGGAGAAGATGAAGATGACGATGGCGATGAAGATAAAGATGAACATCAATTATCCTCTCCAGGTTTCATGAAATAACTTCCTCCACCTTCCCCTCCTCTTCCACTCGCTGTAGAAGCTCCAAAACGCTGCCGGCTTTCCTCTTCGCCCTGTCCGTACCGTTCTCCGACAACTCCTTCAACGCCTCCTCAGCCCCGAGCTCTTTCGCGACTTTCAGATACGGTAAATTTCCGACGCACAATGACCACAGTATTGCAGCCGCATTTTCCCGGTTGCGAGGCGATCCTGTCCTGATCACTTCAACCAAAATCGGGATCGGCTCAGCCTGGCCGATAGCTACCTTCCCCTCTTGATGGCTAGCGAGAATGGCCAAAATCGCGAGCGCTTCGTCAACCATGCCGCCTCCGGGATCCTTGAGCAATCTCATCAATGGTGGCACGATTCCGGCTCTGACGGCTCTCACCTTGTTTCCTTGGTAGATCGAAAGATTGAATATAGCCGTGGCAGCATCTTTCATTCCCCGGGGTGTGCCGTTGCAAAGCAGGTCGATCAGGGGAGGGATGGCTCCGGCAGCCCCGATTGCGACTTTGTTCTCGTCAACAACCGATAGGCTGAAAAGGGTCGCGGCAGCATTTTCCCTACCTTCCGAGCTTCCATTTTTCAGAACCTCTACGATGTCGGGTATTGCACCGGCATTTACAATAATGCCCTTGTTCGCCTCGTTTATTGAGAGGTTGAGAAGCGCCGTCACGGCGTGCTCTTGAGTCCTCGGATCAGGGGAGGACAGCAATTCAACTAATAGAGGAATGGCGCCAGCTTCGGCAATGCATACTCTGTTGTCGGCATTTCGTTTGGCCAGCAGACGGAGCTCGCCAGCAGTTGCTCGTTGCTGTTCGGGATTTCCGTTCGCCAGCCTCTGCAGCAAGGCTTCGATGGCAGCACGATCGCAGTCCGAACTGCCAGTTCCCGATTTTTTGTTTCGACTAGTTCCTTGGCTCCGTGGCAACTCGACTCCGTTGCTCTCACACCACATAGTGATAAGACTTTTCAAAACGTAGTTGGGCGTTAACGCAGTGTGCAGTAACGTCTGCTGAGTCTTGGGGCACGTCTTGTGTCCGGAATCTAACCATTTCTGAATGCAGAATCGTTCGTAAGTCTGCACGGGAAGCAAGCCAGAGAGATGATCGATATGAGCTCAAGAATACAAATATTTGTAAAATGAAGGTTAAATATACGAACAAAAACTCAAACCTGTCCGGTTGACACAATTACGGGGTCCTTCATTAATTCGAGTGATATGGGACAACGGAAGTCATCAGGGATGATAGGAGATCTGTGTTTAAGAGAACTCTTGTCCACATCAATCATATCCTCGTCTGGATTATTCGATATCACACAGTCCTTCAGCTTTCTGAGAATATACGACATAGTCTCCAAATACTCTGCAGAAAACCCTTCGGGAGTGCCATCAGATGATATGACCATTTCGTGAATGGCGAGTGACTCTTTCTTTATATCATTTATGGTTCGGAGATGCAGCTTCTCCGAAAGCCTTTGGAAAACTGCAGGGTCGGGATCGTCTTCCATTTGTGCAGCAGCTAAGTCCATTGCAAACTGCAAGTCCGGCGACTCCAGCCGACCTGTAGCTCTTTTAAATTGCGAATGTAGGAGTTCAATCTATACAACGACCAGGAAAAATTTGTAGTAATCAGTGAAAAATCCCTAGAAAAAAATCATAATAATAAATAACAACTAGCCGTGTTGAATCAGCCATAAAGTTCATCAGTTTGCACCTGTTCTCGAACCTCCTCGGGTATATCAAGATTGTTATACGGAACTTGATCTAATGCTTCTTCAATTTGTTTAGTCACAACTTCAAACTTTGCAGCAATTTTGTCAATTTGCAAAGCCTGTAACAAGAAACCGATTCGAGCACGCTGATGAATGATCAAAGCCATTATGTAACACACCATAATTGCAAAACAAAGATAACTATCGAATATTGCTTAGTCCTAGTAAAAACATAACTATTTATCAAAAGATTTCCAATCGATGTTAGAGCTTAACATTGTTTCCAAAATCATCATCATCGTCTTTAACCATCGAATGATCTCAAAATGGCTAGAATGTTGCCTTATTTCTTGATGATCGTATAGGAAATCATTGGTTTTGTCAGTAACTCAGGTTCGTAATCCATTCTAGTTATAGAAGCTAAGATCAATAAAACTCATTAACTTTCATACAAGCAATATAGTATGATGATATCAATTATAAATTTACATTATGATGGTTTTGTTTCGATCTTTGAAGCTCATTCATATGAGTTAACTTATCAAATTCCATTTTCTATAACATCATTTCAGGCAGTTTTCTAACCATAAATGATTTTTGCAACAAACGATTCTATGGCACAAAAATACTCTGTCTGCATTCAAAACCTTCGCAACTATATGATTATGAATGTATCCTCGAGCCTCAATCCATCTGATCAATGAACTGGGATGATCAACACCTTTCCCTGTTCTTTCAAGAATCAGAATGCAACTGCTCATCTCGTTTTAATCATTTTCCATTTCTGCTAAGTTCATCCCCAATTTTCACATTTCGCGATTTTTAAAACAGAAACTAAGAAACTTCTATATGCCAAACGACTTCAATAACAAAGAACTTCGTAATTAATCATCAAAAATACAACACAAAAATCGAAAAAAATAAAAATACCTGGAATATCTTGCTGCCTTCAAGGAGAGATTTGAGAAGCTCAAAAGCGGAATCGAGAGCGATTCTGAGAGACTCGAGGCCCTTAACGACGTCGTCCGGCAGCTCGTTCTCTCCTCCAGCTCCACCGTCTTTCAATTCCTCAAAGAGAGGGCTCAATAGCTTCACCCTTCTGACCAGATTGCAGAACATCTTCTTGGAGACGGCTCTGCAATCAGGCAACGCGGAGATAGTCGCAACTACATCACAGAGTTGACCCAGCAAACCCTCCTCCTTCTCCTCCGCCATCATCATCTCTCGAGAAAACGCGTGAGAGGCGCGCGCGGACGAATTAAGCCCCAAAAGTAGCTGATTTGGAGCGGAATATTGGTGGGGTGGGTGGGTGTAGACTGACTACAGGAAGTCGAGGAATTTCTGAAGTGAATTTATTGCGTTTGAAAGTTGGGGATGCGTTTTGTGAATTGGAGGAAGACAAAATCAATGGCTGCCTGCGGAAGGAAATGATAAATCTAATAAATGGAATAATAAATATGACTGGGAAGGAAGGAAGGAAGCTGTGGAGAAGGTCAAGTCGCTTTTGAACTTCTAAATTATATTACAGGTAAATAAGTCTTGAACAAATCATAAGCCCATCTCAATCTATTGTTTTATTTTAATTCAATAATAAATTTTGATTTTTATTCAAAAATTAAAGATATAATGTGCACACAAGCAATCATCATAGCATAATTTTAGAACAAGGATGCCCATTCTAAAATATTAATGTCATTATCGGCTATTTTCATTACAAAATATGCATGTTATATCTAAAGATTATAATCATCTACAATTTTAAGAATAATAACTGGAGTCTCACTACGATTTACATAGTTAATTGTGAAAGCCGTATGATAGTTTTTTTCATTTTCAATATATGCAACTTAAAATACTTAACATATTTCGAAAATCACGATATTCTCCAATATAAAGCAACATTTCAATATCATTAACATTAAGATGTTAAAGATATTAAGTTGAAAATATTTCAACGACTGCACGACAAAATCTCTTAATACTTTCCGTATGAAGATTATTATTTCATCCTCTTGAATGAAGAGTTACTCATATTGAAAAAATAATATTTGGTGAATATATGCTTGATGAATAAATATTGATTGGATGAATGCTCACTAATTTATAGAATGAAAAGTTTAGACAAAATTTAAATATATGATAATTATTTGAATAATATTGAATAAATCCAACAGAAATGAAGATAAATCCAATCCATCGGTTAAGATTGTTTTGACATGGATGAGTGGATTTTTATAATATATAATACCCCCTCTGTTCCATAATTATTATGCATCTGTTTGCTTTTTGCACGAAATTTTAAAAATATTAGTATTATATTTGGATGTAGTAGGAATAAAATAGAAACGACTAAAATAGTCTTATTAGTATTGTGTAATATAAAGATAATGATATTTGTGTAATATATTATAAATTGTAAGAGTATTTGTAATGTTAGATAGATAGTACAGTTACTAAAAAAACGAAATAGATACTTTGTTATAGAACATATTAAAATAGAAAAATGGATACTTTGTTATGGAACGGAGGGAGTACTATATAATAACTATTTAAATAATATAGATATTTATCCAACGTATGAAATAAAGATGAAATCTAAACGAACGGTTATGATTGCTTTGATATGAATAAGTACATTTTTATAATATATAATAATTATTTGAATAATATAGATATACAGATGAAATGAAGATGAAATTCAAACGAACAATACGGATTAGTCAAAGTTGGATGGTTACATTCATGACAAGAATTGATTGATTAGAATTTTTTTAAGAAAAAACAACAAAAAACCTCCCTGTGGTTTACCGAATCTACTAAAAACCCCCGTAGTCCTAAAATTTCAAAAAATCAACTCGTTGTTTGTAAAACGTTGCACACTCGCCCCCCCCTTTTAAATCACACTGACGGCGTTAAATTTTACTCTCATCAGACCGTTATGCCCTTGTGGTTCTCTCTCTTCTCTTCTGTTCTTTCTTCATCTCTTTTCCACAACCTCTTTCTTCCATTTCTTTTCTTCTCCAAATTCTTTTTCACACATCTTCTTCCTCAATTTTTCTCTTCTTCTTCTCCAATTATTTCTCTCTCTTCTTCTGTTCTTTCTTGTTCGTTTCATTCTTCTTCTCTTCTTCCCAACTTCTTTCTTCCATCTTCTTTTCTTCTTCAAATTCTTCTTCACACATCTTTTTCCTCAATTTCTTTTTTCTTCTTCTTCATCTCCAATTCTTCTTTGAAGAATAAAGAATTGGAAAAGAATAAAAATAGAAAGAAGATGATGGGTAGAAACGGCTGGAGTAAGGAAAAAGGAAGGAAGAAAAGAAAGAGAAGAAGGAAGAGAAGGAAAAGAAGGAGAGGAGAAAGAAGGGCTAGATACCGGTTTTTTTTTTTTTTTCTCCAGTTTTTTTTTCTTTTTCTTTTTCTATTTCCTTTTCCCCAATTTTCTTTCTTCTTTATTTTTTCTCTCCAATTCTTCCGTACGCCGTTGCAACCAGAAGCAAACAGGTTTTTCGTTCTTCTTTCTCTATCTCTTTTTCCCCAATTTTCTTTTTTTATTTTATTTTTTCTCCCTAATTCTTCCGTACGCCGTTTCTTTCTTTCTTTCTTCTTAGATTGATTTCAAATCTTGATGTCAAATTGATTTTTTAAATTTTTGGGTTTGCTATTTCTGGGTTTTGTAAAACACAAGAAGAAATATTTCTGGGTTTGGTAAAATAGAAGAAGATCCATGTCCGGTCGATTAATTGTGATAAATTTGGGATCAGTGTCGAATTTGGTTGTATTTAACGGATTTTAAATAAAAAAAATAAATTGAGAGTAAATTCTGAAAGTATGGATAACAATAAGAAAAAAGAAGAATGAGGGAGAAGAAGAATAAGGAAGAAGAATTCATTAGAGTATTTCAGTAATTTTACACATAAATATATCACTTTATGGACAAAAAACCGCATTTCAGGCGCGTGGTATACAACCTCCGTTAAATCCTAACGGATGAGGGATTTTTTGCAACGTTTTACAAACCACGAGTAGGTTTTTTGGAGTTTTAGGACTACGGGGGGTTTTTCAGCAGATTTGGTAAACCACAGGGGTTTTTTTTGCTGTTTTGCCTTTTTTTTAAATATATATATGTATATATGTGTCAAATATAAAATAAATAATTGAGATTAGTCAAAAAAGTGTTCGATCCAATTACACGGTATTGTGAAATATAAATCAACATTTGAAATTAAGTTTTTCAATGGATAAGATTTGATATCTTTCCAAATTTTTTTTGTCTATAAATATAACTTTTCATCTTTTAAGTAATTGCACCACAACATCTCATTTCTCATTCTAATATAATAAAAGTTTATTAGAACAATTTTACAAAATGTCCATCCAAGGTGGTGGATATAGTTGTGATAAAGATGTGTTGCTATGCAACATTATTTAAATATCTCGCAAGATACAATTACCGAAAGGCAATATTCGAAAGATCAATTTTGGAATCAACCATACTAAAAATTCTAATTGGGAGATACCAGTGCAAGATCGGTACAAAATTGGATCCAAACTATAGAGAAAGCTATTCGAAAGTTACTTACTTATATCAAGAAAGTGGAAACCTTAAAATCTAATGAAGCTTTAGAGATAGATATTGTAAGTCTTTTATTAAATTTATTGTGTTTATATATATATATAAAGTTATATTTATAATCCTAAAGTATTGTTTGCAGTTAAATCAAACAAATGAGATACTAATGAAGGAAGATGAAGTTTCAAGAAAATTTTTAAATTTGATCATGTTTGAAACTTGTTAAAGAGTTTGAAAATTTTAATGATCACAATAAAGTTGAAACTCATATAAAATATTTTCTTCTTCATGTGATTCATGGATAAAGAAAGGTCGGGCATGGCCAACTTTTCATCGTCATCAACTATTCTAAAAACAATCAACATGGGAAGTGTTGTCTGTAAACAATCTTATACATGATCCAAAATTTTGATGAAAAAATGGTTTCCGTCATTTTTTTGCTTTTTGACATTCTTGATAATTTATTATCGCTCCAATCATCACTCACAAATAATTGTCTCAATTCATTCTTGTGTTTGTTCAAACTCTACAAAGTGATAAATACGGTAGCAAACTAAGTAGCCGCCAGCCTCACAAGATCTCTGCCACAAGTCTTTTCCCTCATTGCACTAAAAAGTTTCCCATGTCGATAAATAAAAGTGGTGATACCCCTAGCCCTTTGAATGTAGGGTTTAAATTCATTCATTTTTCCAATATCCTCTAGCATGAGCGCAATGCAACGGGCTAGACAAGGTGTCTAAAACAAACTACGAATGCGTTGTTTTAATAGTCTTCTTGCCAACTTATACTTTTCCCCATTATCAGTCATAATTTGCACAACATGTTCATTTCATTCAACTTTTTTGTCAAGCAAATCTGCCTACATTCTTGCATCATGTGACTCAACTGATGTATTAATAGTCTCCAATAAAAAAAGTCTCATTTAGACTATTGACAAGAAAATTTATCAAGTGTCATCCTCTTTTGTCTGTCGACTTATTTGATATAAGGGAACACCTATATTGCTTTCAAGCTTCCATTTGTCTTTATTTCAACTTGTTTATTTCATTTACGGCATCCTCAAGAAATGGTTTCTGCAACTTATGATAACTAATAGGTTTTAAACTAAAACCATATTGTCCGATGACCTCAATCATAATCTCGTAACTTCTTGATTTGGAAGCATTGAATGGAATGCCATTTTTGTAGAAAAAATCAGCAATCCGCTTTTTCACTTCTCTCATTTCTTCTTTTCCTTTTGTAGAAGCTTCGATGGTTTTTTGAACATAACCCCTCACGTGTCTTTCTTCAACAACCTCTTCACGAGTCGTTCGAACTATTGTAACAATTGACTTACTTTGTTTTCCAACTCTTAAAGGTTCATAAAACTTCAAAGTTGATTGAGACATTTTTTTTTTTTTTTTTGCTGCTTGTTTCTGAAGTTGGATGCACAGAATACTTGGAAGATGAATTCGTAGCACTCATAGATTGATTTTCTTCTAACTCCTCATTGTCTTAAGTATCCTTACAATAATCAAATTCAGTAGCACCTCATCATGCCTTATCCATCACGTTTTTGCTCATAAATTAATGTATTATTTGCGAATTTCTTCAATGGTGTTAGGGCACTTAAAAACATCGTCGTAACTCCCAAGTAAATGTTGGTTTAACCTCTTGACTCCAGAATGTATTTTTCTATGACAAATAGGGCATTCAATCGAATCTTTGTTATTCAAATCCGGCCAAAATTCATACTTTCATCATGGATTAGATGATTTGGCCTTTCTTTCCGGATCCCTTGATAAATCTTGGACATTTTCATTATCGGCCATTAAATTAGAACTAGTACAAATATATATATATCTACTCTTTCCGTCCCAATACAATAGTCTTGTTTACCATTTTTGTTTATCTCAAAACAATAATCTTATTTCCATAAATAACCATATCACTATAAAATTATCCCTACTTTTTCATTATTATTACACAATTGTCACTACTTTTTACACTAATATACTCACAAGGGCAAAAAAGTCATTTATCCTTACTTTTTATCAACTACTAATATAATATCAATATTTCTTAAATTCCGTGTCCAACACAATAAGACTATACTTTTGGAACGGATGGAGTATAATTTAATGAATATGTAACAAGTCAACCACTAAAGAACATGAATATAATTAGTATAAAAATAAAATATACTTAAAAATAAAATCAATAATATAAAATAAGTTAAATTAAAAATTATAAAACACAAAAACAAAAAAGAATTGTCGTACCTTGTCTCTATTATCCACTACATATAATACATATATATTATATATAGCACTTATCCTCTTAAATATGTAACTATATATATAATTAGCTACAAAAACACACAACTAATATATTACATATACTCACCGACAACAGCAGGACATTATATATATATTCACAGCTACAGTGCTGCACTTTGTACTAGTATTTAATTATATAACTTAGCAATGCAGTACAATATACATAATAAATAAACAATATGCAGGATCTGCACTAGTATTTATAGATATATATATATATATTATCTACTATTGTCATTATATTTTACATAAAACATGAGAAGTTCTTTTTACCTAATGCACAACGATGGAAGATGATAGTAAAGACTTAAATAATTGAACATTCATTTATTGAAAAATAATATCAACAATCTATAATTAAAAAGTTAATAATATAAAATAACAATTGAATATTCTTATAAAATGAAACAAATTTAAGTACTTGTAAAAATATGTTAACATGAAAATGGTAGACATAAGTCTTCTCTTTTCTATCCAATGTTCTTCGTCTGTATAACATCATTCATATTTGACACAAAAATCTCATTTTTAAAACAAAACACGGTAGCTTTGTTCATCAACTCTTTCCAACCATAAATTCCCTCAATTCATGTTTCAATGATTATATCAATCGCACAACAAAAGATATGTTTGATTTTTATGTTATACAATTTGTGACAAAATATTTGTCATTCCTAATAAGCGCTTTACCAAATGATCTGTCAATATACATTCAGAACTCTCTATCTTATCAATCAAACTAACTGCAACAGATAGACTCTTCGGATCATCAGCATCTTCAAATATTGCTCGACTAATTTCTTTCACTACATCCCACACTTGAAAAGTCGAAGAATTATCTAAAAGTGAGAACCCATATGAGTATCACCATCTCTTGATTCTTTCATTTTATTTTTTTTTTCCGTCAAGACACCATCTTCCTCTGTATGTTTGACAAAAGCAACATATGGTTGTTGTCTCAAATTATCTCTCATTTTACATAAAGTTCCGACAACATTCACAATCATAGAAAGATATTCAAAAAAATTATCATATACTCATTTTTACTCACGCTAGCAACAACCACTAATTGAATTTGATGATAAACACAATAAATATAGTGTGCATGTCCATTTTCCTTTAAAATAAGTACTTTGAGTCCATTGAACTTGCGATGCACTATCATAGCCTTGATCTCTTACTATTGAAAATGACAATCTATTCTTTGAAAAAACTCATCCATAGCAAATTCTTGTTGAAATATATTTAGAAAATATATATTATATATATATATATGATAGTTATCTTATTTAAGAGATTTGTATGATTCTTGCATTGTTTAGAAGATTTATATGATTCTTACATAGACGATTTGTGTATCACTATAAATATGTAAATATTTTAATATGGAAATAGAAAATTTCAGTTTCATATTCCAACATTCTTCACAGATTGTGAACAAGTATCACTAACATATACCACACCGTTCAATCACTTCTCCATCGTCATTCATAAATTTCAAAATCATCAAACTATCTCGATTTTCATCAATTAAAAGAGAAAAATATTTAACTCCAATTTCATTCTAAATCACATTTCTTACATTTGTAGAACATGCGTTGATAATTTATTTTTTAATATTTGGAGAAATCAGTTGATTATTGATGGGAGCATCTTAATTTATAATGTTGTTTACTTCTTCGTTTCTCCAATACCATATGACGAGTTCAAGAAAATTACTTTGATGCATAGATTATGATAACTCATCATGTCTAATCAAATTTATGAAAATTCATTTAAATTAATGATTAAAATTCTAACAAAACTCTATATAGATTTAGTGAATTTTCTAAATCATATCAATTTATAAATTTTTTAAATTAAAAAAAAAATTAATAAAATTTGAAATAAATATATCCCTAAATTTAGTGAAGTGTCCTAACTATTACCCGCTTGAATCATTCAATAAACACACAAGGTGTGCTTGTTTTGTGTTTTGATTTTTTTTTTTTATGTATAAAAATAATGAATATGTATAATATATTAAATTTTTTGAAAAAAATGTTTTAAAACATTTTGGTTAAAAAAACAAAACCACAATAGCTTATTTAAATCAAATGACAAAATACTTTTAAGAGGTAGATATCATATGAAATTGACATGCATCCTGGCTCCCCGTAGCAACAGATTACTTCTCCAAGTGGTGGGTGGAAGCAATTCCTATATTTCTTTTAAAAAAAGTTCTTTAATAAAATACTGTATAGATAGATTCTAAATTCTTGCCCATGGTTTTTTCTTTTTTTTTTAATCAAAACTATTGTAGTAGTATTTATTTTTTGAGACTCTCTTGAAAAAAGCAGCTTAGACTGTAGAGGGGAAGTCATCTATATAATTATCATTACCGTTCAGTTGAAAAGAAGCAGAAGCAGAACCACAGGCATCCATCCATGCCTATACCTTCGCACTGAAGAAGATAAGGAACCGCTACGAACTCTGCTCTTCTCAATTCCAAACACATCAATGGCGTCGCCGTCGCCGTCGCCCGACTATGGAGCCTTCACCGAACGATTTACTCTTCACCCGCCCCATCCTTCGACCGGCCTCACCTTCGCGGTTAAGGACATGTAACTCCAACTCTCTCTCTCTCTCTACATTCATTCTCTAAATAGGATTGTTCCGATTTAGATTTCAATTTTCGATTGCAATTGCAACCAGATTCGACATGGAAGGGTATGTGACTGGTTTCGGGAATCCTGACTGGGCCAATACCCACGCCGCCGCTACAGTCACCGCGCCGACCGTTCTGTCTCTGCTCGACGCAGGCGGCGCCGCCTGCGTCGGAAGAACTGTCATGGATGAAATGGCTTACAGGTTCCATCCAATCCAATCCAATCCAATTTCAACAAAACAATTTCACCACCAAAACTGCTCTACTTCTGCTTCTGCACTCACTTTTCCCCATCCAATTGATTCTGCCCTGTTTCTTAATCGACACACACTTCACTCCGCAGCATAAATGGAGAGAATGCGCATTACGGCACACCTAGGAACCCCTGCGCCGAGGATCGAGTGCCCGGAGGATCATCCAGCGGCTCCGCCGTAGCCGTCGCCGCAATGCTGGCCGACTTTGCCTTAGGTGGATTGAGCTTTCTTATAACTTGCGGCCATGCTTTCATGTTGATCAAATCCGATTTTTCGGTTTGTATTTGCCAGGAACCGACACCGGAGGAAGTGTTCGAGTTCCAGCATCCTACTGTGGGATATTCGGTATCCGGCCTTCTCATGGGATCGTTTCAACCTCTGGAGTTATCCCGATGGCGCAGAGCTTCGACACTGTTGGTGAGGAAACCGATCTTCAATGACTGTTTGTTAGTATGAACTGCTGTTGTAGGGTGACGGAATTAATGGTTTTGGTATCAGGATGGTTCGCTAGAGATCCAGCGATCTTGAATGGTGTTGGCAAGATTCTGTTGCCATCGAAAGAGGATGACAATGGCCCGGAGAAACTCGATCGCTTTATCATTGCGGAAGATTGTTTCGAGCTTCTGCAGATCCCTTCCCATCTACTGACAGATAACGTCGTTGGCGCCGTACAGAAGCTGTATGGAAGTAAGATAGTTAGAAAACATCTATATTGTTGACTTATTTTAGATATTTAGTTTTAGATTTCAGACAGCGGACATATGGCAGATATGAGATGACACGCAGACAACGGACAACCAGCAGACATATGGCAGATCACAGACAAATTTCAGATCGCACGTACCAAGCAGCAAATCGCAGCAAAATCACAAGACCTCCGGGTACAATCCAGGTTGAATGTACCCGGAAGTATTGTGATTTTGAGATCATGCTGCCTGCGTGCAATCTGAAATCTATCTGTAAATATGCTAAATTTAAAACTGAATATCTAAGATATCTCAACATACAAAATTGGACGAGGTTTACGCAAAAGTGTATGCGTGCAGGTCTGGCTGTACAAAGATTACGGATTGGGGAATTCATCGAGGCGAATGTTCCAAGTTTGGAACAATTCATCGACAAAAGTATTACGAAACAAGAGGGAAGTATCCCGCGGTCATTGGTGGCGCTTTCGCACTCCATGAGGCTACTACAAAGGTGAGAATTTTGGGTAGCTATCGATGATCGATCCAATCTTATCTTTTACGACATTGGATCAACATCATCTATCAGGTACGAGTTCAAGAAGAATCACGGTGGATGGATTCGTGCAGTCAATCCCAAGTTTGGGCCGGGACTGAAGGAACGAATATGGGAAGCCCTTGAGGCAACGGATGAAGGCATAGACCTATGCTATTCGGTGATGAGGGAACTTCGAGCAGCTTTAAGTGATCTGCTCGGGGTATATTCTATCCCTCGTGTTCTCGATTCAATTCATTCGAACTGAAAGAAACACGCAAGGCCTAATGAACTGAATCGACACTCATGTGAAATTTATGATTACAGGAATTCGGAATCCTGGCAATGCCAACGGTTCCAGGGCCGCCACCGAAGCTACAGACAGAACCGAAGGAACTGGAAGCCTTCCGGGCAAAGGCCTTCAGCCTGCTGTCTGTTGCAGGGGTGTCCGGATGTTGCCAGGTACCTTATTACATTCTTAACTAACTTATGCAAAGTTTAGGATGATCATGAGATACTAAACTAGATTAAACGGTGGCTGTTACAGTAGTACTGAATGTTAAACACACAATATAAACCGACAACACATATATAATAATTCAAGCAACATATGGTTTATAGCAAAGTAATTTAAATACTGTCAAACGAACTAACAACACATGATAATAGTACAAATGTGCATATGCTTTCAACTAACACAAATGTTCTTTGTTAGCGTATGTCTACCTTTTATGTGCTGATAGAGCTGTTAAACGAACCGAGCCGGTCGTCAACTTGGCTTGATTTGTTTCGATTCGGCTCGGTTAAAGCTCGTTTGCGAATGTTACTGAACCGAGCCGAACAACATAAACAAGCTCGTTTAATTAACAAACGAGCCCGAGCTTTGTTCGCGAACGTTCGTTTAAATAATATATTTATTATAAATATTACATATACATATAAAATTATAATTAATAAATAAATAAAATATTAATTTTAAATATATAAATAAAATAATTTTAAATTTTCTTTTTAAATTAAATATAAATTTTAAAAAATGTGACAAACAAGCTCGAACGAGCTTAATCGAGCCGAACACAAATACGAGATCAAACAACAAAAATTATTAACGAGCCGAGCTCGAACACTACGAACGAGCTCGAAAGCTTAACGAACGAACACAAGACTTGTTCGTGAACTTTAACGAACACTTAAAATTTAGCTCGGTTCGACTCGGTTCGTTAACAGCTCTATGTGCTGATTAAGACTAGTCATCAAAGTAGTATTGATTAACCCTAATTAGCACCTTAACCCTTTCGAAATTAAATTGAGCAGGTGAGCATACCGTTAGGGAAGTACGAGGATCTCCCGATTGCAGTTTCCTTATTGGCAAAACATGGTTCTGATGGATTCTTGCTCAACTTTGTGGAAACTCTTCACAAAGCACTTCAGGGCCATCACTCTTCCTCATCCAGTTTGTAACTGGTCCTGATCTGTATCTGAAACTAGTTATTCGAACCAATACTATGAATAGAATCTTGGCATGATTCTTGGACCAAGTTAGTTCTATTGTACTAAAATCTCCAACTGAGTCTGTGTTTTCCTTATCCAAGAAACTTAAAGCTACACGATTCGCATACATGGATGTTGACAAGATCAAACCTTTCTGGTAATCCAACATAATATCTGAGCTTTTGAACTCTGCAGAAATAGGCGAGGTTTGTGCTACCTCGATGACTCGCTTTTTGTGATCACGCAGGTTGTCTTCATCGTCCTCGAGTATGATGATCCGCTTACTACAGCTTCATAGGCCTCAGTCATTTACTGTTTTACTACCACAGCAATCTGTTCTTCAAGTCGCTACGAAGGAAAGAATATTTCCGGTCATGGCGCCTGGAGTTCGATTACCTGAGGCGTATAGTCAGAATCTTTCGAGTTAGCAGCCAACTGCTTCAACAGTCGATATATCTCATCACAACGCGGATGATTTACGTCGCGCGACACAAAACAGCTCGAATGTCCCGGAACATTAATCCAACTGCAACCGATCTCCTTGGTCAGCCCCCTTTCCAACATTTCTTTCCTTACATTCTTAACATATTCCCAGTTTCCCTCCTCTGCGTGTATGTTCGAAAGAAGAACTCGATAACCTGCAATCCTCCCCGCACCTTCCATTTCAAGCAACTTATCCGCGACAACTTTTCCCAATTCAAACTCATTATGAGTTTTGCACGCAGAAAGCAACGAGCCCCAGATGCGGTAGGCATTGCCATTATCACCCAACTTTCGAGCAACGTTGTATGCTTCATCTACCCTCCCGACTCTCCCTAACAAGTCGACAATGCAGGCGTAGTGTTCTGTCGAGGGCCTTATCCCGAAATCCCTCTCCATGGATTCAAAAAATTCAAGGCCTTCGTCAACCAAGCCCGTGTAACTACAAGCCGATAACAAGGCTACAAAAGTGATAGCATCGGGATTAATACCTCGTTCCCTCATCGAACGAAATAACACAAAAGCTTTCCCGCTCATGCCATGCTGAGCATATCCCAATATCATGTTAGTGAAAGTGACCGAATTCTTTTCTATCGACTCCTCAAAAACTCTTTCGGCATAAATGATCGAACCGGATTTTGAGTACATGTCGATGAGAGCAGAACTCACGAAAACATTCCTTTCCAAGAAGTTACGGATGGAAAAACCATGGAGTTGCTTTCCGAGAGAAATATTTCCTAACTGACTGCAAGCTGGAAGAATCGAAGCTAAGGTCACGGCATTCGGCTGCACATTCTCATCCACCATCTGCCGAAAGATGACCAAGGATTCTTCGACTAAACCATTTTGGGTACTCCCCGAAATCATTGCATTCCACACAGCCACATCATTGTTGTCTTTGCAACTTCTGGTAAAGATTGTTTCAGCACACAGCATTGAACCCGATTTCGAGTACATATCTATTAGGTAGCTCTCCATCCCGTCAAACCTGATTTCGTGCCTGATCATGTAAGCATGGATCTGCTTGCCAATTTCCTGGTTTCTAAGATTCGATGCAGCAGAAAGTAGAGCAGTGATCGTGACGTCGTCAATTTTAAATCCCGATTTCTGCATCTCATGAACAAGTAGTAGCCCTTCATCATCCAATCCATTCTGTACAAGGGAGCATATCATGGTATTCCAAGACACAACATCCCTTTCCGACATTTCACTAAAAACATTAAACGCTTCGCTAACAGAATTGCACTTTGAGTACAGGGATACGATCGCATTGAGCAGGATTACAGACGAAACCAAAGAACACTTCACCATATACGAATGTAGTTGCCGAGCAACATCCAGATCGTGCAACTCTGAAGCTGCACTTATTGCCAAAAGGAAAGTTACATCATCTATACCTCCAGTACCATCTTGGGCTTCAAGTGCCTCACGGAATAGCTCAAGTGCATCGATCAGACAATTATTCTGAACGTAACCTCCAATCATAGTGTTCCATACATGCGCATTCTTGTCGAAACAATTGTCAAAAATCTTCCTAGCAACATCTAGGCAACCAAGCTCCGAAAACATGGTGATAGCAGAGCTCACAACAAATTTTTCGCGAACATACTCGTCACCTAATTTTATTACCATTCCATAAAGAGCACCGGCAATCTCCATAGCCCCTAAACCAGATACGGCAGGAAAAACATTTACAAAACTAACGACAGTTGGTCTTAAACTCCTTTTCATCATCATCAACCAATGTCTTAATGCCTCCGAGAATCGGCCCGATTTTGTGTACCAAGAAATCATTGTGTTATAAGAAACAACATTTCGCTTAGGCATAGTCCTAAACACCCTCTCCACAAAATCAGATTTGGTATCAATCGGTGAGCTTGGAAGACAAGCGGTATACAAATTCAACAAAGAATTGTAAACAATCTTGCTGGAATGCACAGAGGAACGCAGAACATGGCAATGGAGAACTTTACCTATCAAAAATTGCTTTGTCTCCGCGCATGCTTTCAGAATGGAAGAATAAGTGTAGGCATCGCAGTTGAGCGAGCAGTACCTTAGGGAATACAGAGACAGAGCCTCGTGTGGCATGCCATTGCAGATGTAGCCGATGATAATGGTGTTCCAAAGTACGGTGCTCGGATTGGGAATTTCGTCGAACAGTTGGCGGGCAAGGTGGACATGGCCTTGTATGCAGAGCTGATTCAAACGGAACCGTATCGTTTTGGGTTTGGAAGTTGGCCTTTTTTGGTCGAGGTCGGATGATGAAGTGCATGTTTCTTGGCGACTGATGGGCGGCGGATGAGCGGAACACTGGTGGCGGTGGCGGTGGCGGTGGGCGGAGGAGGCGGAGAAGGAGAAGGGCAGCGGAGTGCAAGACATGGACCGCATTCTGTTCTTTTATCTCTATATTTTGTCGTCTTATATTTCACATTTCAGCTCATTGCCTTTTAATTCTGTGCATGTATACGAGAGAGAATTCTATACATTATAAGGAAAAATAAAAAAATCGAAAACAGCTGCGTGCTGAATTGGAAAAATTAAATTAGCACACTCGTAATATATAATTACAAGTAATGTTGCTTTATAATTATAACGGGTTGTATAACCTATGTGATATGTCGTGTGTGTTGTGAGTTGATGTGTTGTATCTGTGTTGTTGATTCATAATTACAAGTATGTTGTATAATAACATGTAGTAGGCTGAAATCAAGTATTGATTATACCGTATAAAACTATAGCATATGTTGTATTTGTATTATACGAATGCAGACGCTGTAAAATCAATACAGTTCCAATATGTAAAATGTATCAATTTTAATTCCAATATAAAAAAAAACCCATTAATTTTAGTTTTATTATAAATAATTTTAATCAATTTTTATTTTACAGTTAAAAAAAAAAAAAAAACTAACAGATATTGTTTATGTAGCGTAATGAATGAATTTGACGTGGCAGCGGGAAACTATACAATTGTATTCCACATTTTGTCACACGGCCGTGTACAATGATACATGTCTTATACATGCTCATATTGTCACGCGGCATTGTAGAGTGATACATGTCCATATCATGCCACTTTGTTTAATTACACATTGTCGTGTATTCTAATTATGTTTTTTTTTTAAAAAAAATAGAATAATTGATATATTTAAAATGACAGTAATTCTAATATAATTAAAATGTATCAATTTTGGTTTTAAAATAAAAAATTTATGTTCTTTTGAAAAATTTTGTCTAGAATTTCATTATTCACCAAAATTTCTCCCACAAACATCCAATTAAACACCTATTTTTTTTTCTTTATTATATTAAAAATTAGTTATACTATCATACGATTATTTCAAATCAAAATTTTACCATTCAAAGATGAAACTCTCAAACAAACATGTTCATCAATTTTAGTCTCATGGTAAATAATTTCAATCAATTTTGGTCATACAGTTCAAATAGTAATGAAAATTGATGTCATTGACAAAAAGACAGCTGACCTGGACACAATCCGGTGACTTAACATTCTCAAATTGGTACTATAAATTTTTCTACTATATGAACTATTCTACATTCAATATATATTTTTTGTCAACAAAAATTATAATCAACTTTGTTCAATTAAACACGACTATGTGACAATATGGGCATATATAATTGTACGCGATCGTATTACTTTTAGGTCTGTTGTCACGTCAATCTTGTTATGTTTACATCAGCAATTTTTATTATTTTTTAAAAATAAGACCAAAATTGATTTAAATTTTTTAAAATATAATTAAAATTAATGAGTTATATATATATATATATTATTACCAAAATTGATATATTTAAATTATATTAAAAATACTATTGGTATTTTCTCATTATTATATATTCCCTCCGTTCGTCAAATTTATTCTTATTAAATTTATTATATTACTAATTTTGGCAAAATTAACAAATTAGTATTTAATTATTACCCTTTATTCAACATTTATTTACAACAAATATCAATTCTCTCTTCATTTACTTTCGGTTCTAACTAAATTTTCAAAAATACCTTCAATTACCTATCACTTTTTTAATAAAATATTTATTTTTTGTAAATTTCTGTCGGGCCCAAATAGACTATTTTTAGTGGACGGAGAGTATATATATATATATATTTAGTCATATAAGTCAAATTTGAAACTTTGAGAAATAAATTATTTATATATATATATATTTAGTCATATAAGTCAAATTTGAAACTTTGACAAATAAAATATTTTTATCCTTCTATTTTTATTTATTTCATATAATGAGCTTTTATATATATATATATATATATTATTACCATACATTTAAATTATATTAAAAATACTATTGATATTTTTCCTTTTTTTATTTTTTTTTTTATTTCTTTCATATATCATGAAAATAAATAAAAATTAAAAAATAATTTATTTAATATTTTTTGTTATTTGATTTTTATTAGTATTATTTTGTTTTAAAATTATACTACTATGATTTTTAAAATATTGTATTTAATTTATTATTCTGTTTAATTTTTACAAATTTTAAAATTATATTAATTTGATTTTACAAAATATGCATCATTTGTTCGTTCAATTTTTATATCGTTTTCGATAAATATTAATAAAAATATGATATATATACTCATATTCATATAATATAAATGGTATATATTATATATATTTTTTTTATTTTTTATAAAAAAAAATTAACTATTTAATCCAAAATTTAATTTTTCATACCTTACATCACACCAAATTTAAACACTAAAATAAATAATGACATTTAGTTTTGTTAAATAAAGATATCTATTTTGTATCTTTATTCCCGTTTTACATTGATATATTTTTTGAAAAGCCGTTCAAAATTACTCTAACATATATTGAATTTGCTCAAATGATTTGAACTCAATTTTTTTTGTCTTATACAGACATTCGTACTGATAATGCCCTTCAGTACAGATATTCTACCTTATTAAGTTTTCTCTCTACTTAAGGTATATTGATTCAGGGTTTATGTGCATACACCTCTCAACAGAATAGTTGCGGTGAGCGCAAACATCGTCACATTCTAGATACTGTTTGTCCATCCCCTTTGTTTGTCTCTTGTCCTGATAGGTTATGGGGGGAAGCCGCCCTCACTGCTGTATATACCATAAATCGTATTTCATTATCTGTTCTCCATAATAGCACCCCTTTCGAGTGTCTATATGGTCAGCCGTCCAATTATAGTACACTCCGTCTCTTCGGTTGTGTCGATTTTTTCGTTATCCCTCCGCATGAACGTTCCAAATTGAAACCTCGTGCGCGTGTATGTTGTCTTCTTTGTTATTGAGTAGAACATAAATGTTATAAGCTTTGGGATTCAGTTTCTAAACGGTTGCGTATATCTCATCATGTTACTTTTTGGGAGAGTGTAATATTTTACACCATGTCTAAATTTCATGTCTCATCTATTTCTGGTTCATCCTCCTTCGTGTTGGCATGTCCTCCCTTGTTTCTTGATCCTGATCCTACGGCTCCATCACCGCCTCCGGATCCTGTTCCAATTTAGGCTTCTGATCCACCTCCAGTTGAGGCTTCTGATCCACATCCGACATTTTCTCCAGACGTTGATCCGTCTGTGGTCTCTGGACCTGTCATACCTCGTCGATCACATAGAGTGTGTCACCCTCCTTCTCAATTGCGTGATTATCATTTTTACAGTGTCATATTATCTCATCATGAGCCTAGGTCATTTCGTTAGGTGAGTACTGATCCATTATGACAACAAGCTATGCCTGGGGATTGGAGTGCGAGTCCGAGTATCGTACCCTTGCTGACTCTACGTCAAAATTTTTATGACTTCGTCGATTACTGACTGATCTTAGTGTTCCTCAGTCCTCTTCTACGACTCTTCACTGCGAGAGTCATATTACTGTGAAGATGGCCCACAATGATACATTTCACGAGAGCACCAAGGATATTGAACTTGACTGTCACTTCATTCGACAACATGTCATCGGTGGTGCTGTCTATTTCGTTCCGATCTCCTCAGTAGATCAGGGAACCGATATTTTTACTAAGTCTCTTCTTCCCGGCCGCTTCCAATTGCTCTTGGACAAACTCAAGTTGGTTTTTACAGCACCTACTTGAGTTTGAGGGGTGTTAAATATAGATATCTATTTTGTATCTTTATTATTTTAATTTAGCCCCAAGCCCACTGGTATATATATTTTTGTACTCCTACTTCCGTAATAATATAATTTCATAATTTCCCCAAATTCTAACAAATTATTACTAAAAAAAATCCATCAAAAGTAATCCTACATAAATTCTAATTCATTGAAATTCTTTCTTACCAACTTATTATTTCCTCTTGAACGATCAATTGCTCTTTCATTTTTTCTATATTTTTAATTGAATTATTTATTTTACCAAATAAATAAATAATTTTTATTATCCACTCTCTCCAATTTTATCATCTACATATAATTATATTTTATAATTATATTTTTCTACAATTTAATTTTCATTTTTAAAGATATTTTTAACTTAGTTTTTTATATAAAATTATGTGTTTGGTTTGACCGGTTTTGAGTAAATAATAGTGGTGTAATGCAGAAAAAAACAAAAACAAAAAACAAAAAAATGAGAATATGATAAATTCAAACCAAACACATAGTATTAAACCACTATTTTAATTTATATATATATATATATATATTGGAGATATAAATTCAAACACAAAACACACTATATAAAGACATATATTCTATATGAGTTATGTCAATATAATAGAATATATAATACATCATATAAATACACATAGGATATCTTAAAAAGATAGATATGAGATAAATTATATGTGATATAGACACACAAAATACATAATATAGAAATAAACAATACATAAATTATATTAATATAATAGAAAAATAGTACATAACATAATCTCAAACTTGAAATCAACACAATAAATATATCAATACAACACATTGTATCAATTTATTCAACAAAATCTTGTTGTATTACAAAAAAGAATGTATTCTTTTATTGTTTTATAACTCGACAAATCAATATGCTGATTTGCCTAAATAATATCATAACTAATCTCATATATATGCATTTAAAAAATTAATATGTAAAACTAATATGAGGATATTGATATAAATAAGTATAAGTATGAAGATATTTTCAATATATAGTAGATCATACATACGCAAAGAAAAATGAATATTTTGCATTTGAATATAATAAAATGACAAAATATATACTTATTAAGTAAATAGAGAAAATATAATATCTTTTTTAAAAATAAATTTTTTTAATAAAGAATTGTAAGAATTAGGTAATAAAGAAAACCAAAATATAATTCTTAAAAAGAATAAAACTTTCAGAGTATGCACAATATCTACAGAAAAAGTCTCGATTTGTTCTCCAGTTATTTTATTCTGATTTAACCATTTTAAACTAAGAGCAACTGCAATAGCTTTTCTATCGAAAGCTCTGTTATAATTTTTTTTTTTCCGCAACAAATCTAAGAAGTATTTATACAATGACTCTTGTTGAAAGGGAAAAATATTAAAATACTTTGGATTGACTTGGTGCATATAAAACTTTGTAAAAGCCTCTCACTTTTTTATTTTTTTTTCTCTGCATTTTTTTTATTGTTTCTCTCTATCTTTTTTATTGAAAAGAAAAATAGAAATAAACAAATAACTTGAATATTCTTATTCTCTCATTTCTTCTTGTTCATGCAGTCGTATTCTCTTTCTTTCTCTTCCTCTGTTCTCTTTCTACTTCTATCACGCATATGTTTTTGTTGTTGTTTTGCTCAAAAAAATAAAAAGTACAGTTCATTTAAAAATTTTAGACAATTTGAAATTAAAAAACTTGGACACATTAAATTTTATATATATATGGTGATTTTTTGAAAAACAATTGTCGTAGTTGCTCTAACTAAATACACAATGACTTATAAAAAATAATATGTTCTCTCATAGATTTTCTTAGCCGTTAACTACGTGAGGCAAAAGCCAAGTGTCTATATATATTTTATGGTTTTAGCAAAAAAAAAAAAAAAAAAAAAAGCTGAATTGATAGAGACGAAGCCATTACTATTGCTCTTATGAATCAGGATAAAGGGGTGTGTTTGTTTGGGTGTTTGGATTTTGAGTTGGGATTTGAATAGTAAAAATTTTGAATTTAAATAGTTGTATGATGTGATATAAATAAGTGTTGATGTGATGTTTTGAATGTAAAATTGATTTTTAATATAATATAAAAAATAAAAAATAGGTGTTTGATTTGATATTTTCGGGGGAAAAAATTGGATGAACAGTGTAAATCCAATCCAATCTCCCAAACAAACACACTGAACTAACACTTACACATGTTTTCATATAAGATTTTTTTTTGTATTTTTTTTCAATAAATAAATATTTTTTTATCTACATTCAAAGTTTTAATTTTTTTTTTATAAAATTATTTTATGTTAAATATAAATAAATAAATATATTTTTATTTATATTATATATATCTTATTGTGATGTAATATTTAAAATACTTAAACATACTATATTCTATTTTTTTTAACAATTTTATTTTAAAAATATCAACAATATCATATGACAAAAAAAAAAAATTATAACATACTATCATTAATTTACTAAATTCTACTCCCTCCGTCCCATGTATTATGGACCTATTACTGTAGATACGGAAATTTAGGTAAAGTATGGTTAGTAAGTAATTAAGAAGTGTATTAGTAAAAATGGATTAAGATTAAGATAACTAAATAGTTTAATTAATATTAAAAAAATTATAAAATTTAAAATTTAAAATGAGATTAAAGTGTATAATTATATTTCCAAAAAAGGAATTGACAAATTATGTGGAATGGACGAAAATAAAAAATAGGGACAAATTATGTAGGATTGAGGGAGTGCTTTTTAAAATATTGTATTATCAACAAAATGCGCTACTTTTAAATATTGTTAGGTAAAATTTAAAAGGCATAAAAATATATATATATATATATAAATAATTTTGAACTAACTCGAGTTATTCCATTTTACATATGGGTGTGTTTGTTTGGTGGTTTGAATTTGAATTGAGATTTGAATAGTAAAAATTTTGAATTTGAATAGTTGCATGATGTGACGTAAGTAGGCGTTGATACAATATTTTGAATGTAAAATTGATTTTTAGTATAATATAAAAAATAAAAAATAGGTATTTGATTTGATTTTTTTAATGAAAAAAAATGAGATAAATAATGTATTTAAAATCCAATCTCCAATCAAACACATCCATAGCCCAAACTTGGATGATACAAATGATAGGAGTGGAGGTCCCCTTAATAACTCACTCCCGTCAGCTACTAAGGCAGGCTTTCCGACTCGGCCAAGTACCACAAAAGCCAAAGACTTTCTAGAGAGAGAAACTACTTGAGAGAGAAAATGTGGAAATGAATACTTTGCTTGCCAAAATTTGGATGATACAAATGATAGGAGTGGAGGTCCCCTTAGTAACTCACTCCCGTCAGCTACTAAGAGGCTTTACGACTCGGCCAAGTACCACAAAAGCCAAAGACTTTCTAGGGTGAGAAACCACTAGAGAGAGAAAGTGCGGAAATGAATACTTTGCTTGCCAAAATTTGGATGATACAAATGATAGGAGTAGAGGTCCCCTTAGTAACTCACTCCCGTCACCTACTAAGGCAGACTTTCCGACTCGGGCAAGTATCACAAAAGCCAAAGACTTTCTAAAGAAAAAAACTACCAGAGAGAGAAAGTGTAGAGATGAATGCTTTACTTGTCAAAACTTGGATGATACAAATGATAGGAGTGAAGGTCCCCTTAGCAACTCACTCTCCTCGGCCACTAAAGCAGGCTTTCCGACTTGGCCAAGTATCACAAAAGCCAAAAGCCAAAAGACTTTCTAGAGAGAGAAACTATCATAGAGAGAAAGTGTGGATAAGAATGCTTTGCTTGTCAAAATTTGGATGGTACAAATGATAGGAGTGAAGGTCCCCTTAGCAACTCACTCCCCTCGGCTACTAAGACAAGCTTTCCGACTCGGCCAAATACCACAAAAGCCAAAGGCTTTCTAGAGAGAGAAACTACTAGAGAGAGAAAATGCAGAAATAAATTCTTTACTTGTCAAAACTTGGATGATACAAATGATATGAGTAAAGGTCCTTTCATAGGCCAAAGACTCCAAAAGACAACCCTAGATAATTCAAAAGTGTAAAACCTTCAAATCCAAAAGTACAACGATCTATAATGTTCTACCAACTACCAATGTGAGCCCAAAGATCTCACCAAGATCCATCACCTTCCGGAAGGATTCCGGAATATTCCGGGTTTAGAACACTATTCTAGTGAGCTTGAATGAAGTGTTTTGCATAATAAAAAGTACTAAGTATAAAAAAACCACCGCACCACGACCGCTCGAAAGTCCGACCGTGACATCTATGTATCATACTCCAACCATGTTTATATATACACCGGTTGTTACTAAATTCAGCACATTATTGATAGTCCATCTTATATTTGAGGACACATATTATAATAGAAGGTACTGTTATTCTAACACAATATTCTTGCACATCACAACTATAAGTACAAATACATAATTTTATTTCACATAACATAGTATGTATTTGAGGAAAAATAATGTAGGTTCTTATAACCGTTATATTCATTAAAATTAAAACAAAATAATTAAACTTGCACAAGAAATGAGAAAGAGCATAAAATGAATGGCAATCAAGAACCCTATCACTTGACACAAAATGTATAATCGAGCAGGACACAACACAACCCAAGTAGAGCTTCCACCACAAAAATGGTGGAGTCATGTGCATTGCATTGCTGCTGACAGAATGAATACAAATCAATCCAGCAAGTATATTCAGAATTATCCCCCACCCCCACTAACCATCCTACCCTGCTGAGTAACAAAAACTCTTATCAAATCTAAAGAAAGAGCCACCAATTGCAAGGCTTCAACAAAGTTAGAAAATCAGGCCAAAACATGATACCATCTCCAACATTCTCCAGAAACAGATTCAACAAGGCATCAATCTGATTATCAGTAAGTAGCAGATGACATGATTCACCCTGTCAGTAAAAAAAGTCTATTAAGCTACAAAGCAGTCAGATCGTGGAGATAATCCAACTTTTCATCAATGGTACACACCAGACTAAAGACAAACAGACAAACAGAAAGCAAGGGGAGGGATATAAATAATTAATTTACCGGGGATCGAATTCCAACTCGCACACTTCTTGAATTCACTAGGCCATTCCAACTACCATAATCCACAAGTCTTCTTTACTCTTCAAGACTTCCACAACACATTATGCACAGGTTTATCTAATGCACAGTGGATGACATGTTTTCATGCAGGGGAGTTTACACAATGCCCTGTTTTCCTTCTATGCCGACTGAAATCCGATACAAATCTGAAAGTTAGGCCACAACCCTCAACTTTGCAGACATATGGCCTTTCCCCAGTGTGGACCCGCAAATGTTCAGTCCTTGCCCAAGCCCACTTAAAAGACATAGTACAACCCTCCCATGGACATTTCAAAGGCCGGTCGTCATCATGAACCCGCTGGTGTTGAATTGCATATTTGTGGGAGTTGAATTTCTTCCTGCACCCATCAACTGGACATCGGTTTGCTTTGTGCAGGAGTAGCTCTGCCTTTGTCTGAAAACTCATACTGCAACCTTCCAGATCACATTTATGACATCCCTTCTGCTGCTCTTTCTTAACCTTGTGCTTAATAGAATGATCTCCTAACTTTTTTGGCTTCTTCATTACGTGTTTCTCCTTAATAGGTGTTTCACTGTCCTTAATAGGTGTTTCACTGTCAGTTATGGAGATGGATGCATATTTTCCAGCCCTAGACCTTAATCCTTCACACGGACTTCGGATAAAACTACTCATACCAAAGTTGTTGTCTGACTGCACACATATTTCTCTAGACCTTTTGACTCCTTTCTTTGAAACTGGTTTAGGTTGTGCCATGGTGAAATTGGAATCATCTGAGACTTTCTCGTTGGATAAAGTGTTGTCACTCTTGACCACATCATTTTGATCTACCTTGGGCACAGGGATGGCATCCCCAGCAATTTTTTCTTTAATCATGGAGGAAGTTGATTCTTTTACTGGTATAGTATTTCCGGAAACAACTTCCTCTTGATGGTCACTATCAGTTCGAACATGTTGATTATCTTCAGTGCCCAGGGCTTTTGATACCTCACTATCAATAACAAGTTGATCAAAAGCCCCTTCCATTTTCTCATCGCATCTTGTGGTAGAATCATCAACCAAAGAGTTTGGTGAGCCATCTTGTCTAGAAGCTTCTTTAATGATGTCACCTCCATCTGACGTAACCCGGACTTCACAATCATGTTCTATCATCCGATTACAATCTACATTAGATTCATCCATCGGATCTTGCTTTCTCAATTTTTCATTATCTGTAGCACTGCCTGCCTTGTTGTCATGCACCTGAGAATCTTGACACAGGCCACCCGCTGTGTCAGTTATTATTACTTCACCCACTGCACAAGTTGATGCTTCAGCCTCAACATTCTCCACTAATGTTGCAGAAGCAGTAAATGAAGTTTCAAGACTAGACTGAAATGAATTCTCCATGCCTATCCTGCTTGATGAAAGCAGTTGTTGACAGTTCTCCAAATTTCCATCAGAAGGTAAGGCACTTGGCCGTGATAAACTTTTTCCATCATGTTCAACTCCAAGAAAAGTTCCAGCTTTGTTTTTGCCTTCATTATCAAGATCTTCAGGGTCTGTAGCCTGAGTATCTGGTACAGAAATGCTACTTGCATCAATAGGAGCCTGTACTTCTGCAGATGCACGGGTCTTGTACTTTTTCCTGGAATATTGAATGACTTTAACATCATCCTTAGCCACTTGCAGATCTTTATTTGTTTTCATATTCTCCTTCATGATTTGATTGCTCGCAGATGATTTCCTCCTTGTACGTTTTAGATGGCGCTTTGAGCGTAATTTTCTGGATTGCCACTTTACGCTGGATGCATCAGGAATTGGAGTTGCACCACCAAACAATGCACCCAAACCTAACAAATGCTGTAGAGTCTGAGATGGGGAACTCTTTTTAACCTTTACACAATGCTGTAAATTGATATTTAACTTTGAGGTCCAATCTTCAGCTGAGCCAACTTCTTCATTTCGGTCAACAGCAATGTCAATCACTTTCAGATCCTCAAGAGAAGCCTCACCTAATGGTATCTCAGTGTAACAATAAGGAATAGAAACTTCCTCTGCAATGATGGCCGCATGAGTCTTTATTTTCTGAAAATCTAATCAAATGACAAAGGCATAGGGACATAATCAGTGCAACACCTTGCTTCATGAATCAGTGAGGTTTCAAGAAGCTCACGAGTTAAACATAATCTTTACATGAAATAAGTGAGAAGATTTTGCATCAGCACTTCTTGCATTACTTTTCAGATTACTTGAGACTAGAAAACAGATAGTCATAATATCTTTTAAGGCCTTGTAGACATATAAAAGAATGGGGAGATAGTGGTTCCTTGGATTAACATGATAATGATGCAAAATAAGGTTCAGGGGAAAAAGGGTTTTAAATTTCCAAAGATAACTAACTGCCTTTACATGCTAAAGAAAATACACTTCTGTTATCTATCATAATTCTGGTGCACAAATTTTATCCTAGATTTACCTGAATGACAGATCACGAGAATATTGGCACCACCTTTAGAGCTCAACAGTTTTTCAATTTCAATTGCATGCTCTAGGCAAAATATTCGTGGCCTTAGAGATACATTAGAAATGTTCCATCCCTTGGAGTTCTCAACTGTTGAAGAATCAAGTTTGTGTCTCAACATTGTGGCTGAATCTGCTGATTGACTAGTTTGGGCCACTGACGATTGCCCATTTCCATCATGGAGAGGTCTGTTGGATGTAGCCTTGTCATCTGCATCAGTAAAAGAATGATTTCTAATTACTGGTGTTGACATAATATCATATTTCTAGGATTCTAGCTGGAAAGTTATGAGCATGCCCAATACTCAATAAGTGAGGAAAAACAACCCTTAGTTTCACGTAAAAGAGAAGGCTAAATGAAGTAGGCAATAACAGTGGATTTATAACATTATGTATTGGAAAATTTTGCATGAGGAAACACAAGGAAAAAGATATTATATAGTTCTATTGAAGACATCTAACTTCATCAACCAGGAAACGCTATGCTGTGAACTGTTGGCAATGAGGCCATTAGTTTTATTCCCTTGTTTGTCTAAAGTTCTATTTATAGAACTATGGTGAATCAATATTTTAACATCATACTGATATTTAAATTTGGATGTAGACCTAGTAGCCAGCCTTTACATGTCAAGATATTTCCTGCTGCATTATTCAGAGTTAGCCACAATGTTAACCTAAACCTAAAGCCCATGACATAATGCACAACAAATGTGTTTCATATGCACAATTGTACATGATACCAACTTTGGTTGATCTGAAGTTTCCTAATAACTAGGAATGTGTGAATGATTTATAGTAAATAATAATAATAAAATAAAAAATAAAAAATAAAAAGAACAAAGATCGACATAAAATGAGATCATTGATCATACCTTTAGTGGAACCCACAGCTACATGAGTGACATCAGAAAGGGTACTAGATTCCAGAGAAATAGAAAGAGGATCCATAAGCATAAGCTCCCGGGATGCATCTTCGGATGGTTGCACAACAGCCATAAATGGAAAACCCAGGATACCACAAGCTACACAAGGTAATGTACCAGATTCTATTTGAAAATCATAGGCCAAATCATCATCATTAAGGTCAAAACCAACTGCACCAATATACTTGCAAAGCTCACTAAGATCATCCACACTATTTTTATTCTCAGTAGATCCTTTGTTTGTTGATGCTGATTGGATAGCATCAGCATCCTGGCATAATTCAGATTCTTTATTTGAAGATGGAAGTGAATCAACATCCCATAATATTGCATGATATAAGGAATTTCTTTCAAGGAGCGAAGTCAACAGACTGTTTTCATGCATCATGTCTTCTATGAATGCCTTCTTTACCAACAATTCCCTTTCTTCCTTCTGTCGATCCCTCAAACGAGAGCTTCGTACTCCTGGTAGTAAGGATCTAGGTATTCTGCCATTAGGTCAGCTAAACATTAATTTTTATTTCATTCTTTTTTTAAAAATAAATTAAATATATATATATATATATATTCAATTGAAGCACCTTATATCTAGTATGGGAATCTTAAATGCAGAAAACAGAAATAACAAGGATGATTGAACAAACAGGTTAGGATCTTGAAAGTGTTCGAGTTTCAGAATAGCTCTGCTGACTTGTTAAGACATCAAATGGCTTACCATAACCAAATTCTTAGTCAGTGGTCCAATGTAAATAGATGTGGTGCCTTTATTCCTCATCATTATTAGGCATTTCAGAAACAGTCTGATTGCTAGCACATGAGAAATCAGAAACAGTTTGATTCCGGACTTCTAAACATTAATTAGTCTCCTAAGTCTAATAGTACCAAAAATAGAAAAAATGTCAGCCCAGTTATTTTTGACAAAAAGTGTTTGATTTTCATTACTAGGCCCAAGTTGCATAAGGGTTGTACAGTATCACCTATATCTTTTCTTTGGACTTGGAGGCCAGGTTAATACATGCAAATTACTTGTACTTATTAGGTGTCAAGCAACGGTCAACATTCAACAGACTCAGAGAGTGTAAACAATGCCAATGGTATTTTTGAACAAAAGGAGAAAGCTATATATACACACAAACACAAACACACACAACAAACTGTAATCGCCTGTTGCTTGTCATTATGAACAAAATAACAAAAGTATGCTGTATTACAATTAACACTGTCCTGATGGCTGACCTGGAAATGAAAGACATGGTCAACAAGTATAGTAATTGCTGATGTGAAAGCATGGGAAGATAGTTCATTGCAGATCTGCGAACAGCAGCCTCCTTAGCTATTGCAAGCCACTTTGGTGTTCCAAAATTAGCTGCTTCCCCACAGTTAAAACCTATTTTGAATTACCAAGGCAAATTATAAATGGACAATATAGAAAATAAATAAATAAATCATAGGACACTTATAATGAATAATAAGGATTGTCACTTATAATTACAAGTTGATACAAAATTAAAAGGACGCATACTAACAACTAATTTTTTGCGTGCAAGTAAATTTATTCAATTATTAAACCCTTTCTAAGTCGATGTCCATTATATATATTATATATATTATCTATAAGAGTTATTCAACAACAGTGATGCTCAGACTCCCCGGAGTTCATTTTGTCAAAGGACCATGGGTTAAGAAAGATTTGAACTTAAACATTGTGTAGTGAGAACAAACAAAAACATGCATTTAATATAACATAATCCAGTAAGAAAATAAGCACATGAAGCAAAAGCTACTACCATGGCTGAAACCTATGTGATATGCTCTCGGAAAAGTCACCACAAATTCACCAGGGTTTTGCACCAACCTAAAATTATAAATTTTGGCAGATTAGCAAATTTTGCTCCATACCCATCCAAGGGAGTGTAGCCAAAACATGAAAAATATGGTGAGACAACCAACCTGCAACACGGGATGCCTGATTTAACAATAACTTCAGGAGACAAAACAGTGGTCTTTTCCCCCAGCATAGATAAAGCAACTGCATCAGAACAAAATTTCAGATAATTAACACCACATCAGAAGCAGCTACTGATGATGCTACTTTTTGCTATTGCGCTTGAAAGAAGATTTATGATTAAGTAATATGTACAAATTAGAGTTTGTTTAGATACTATTTGAAAGTGTTTTGGTGTTCTGAGTTGTTTTGGGAATAGTAACATTTTGAATGGGAAGTAAGTATAGGATATGGTTTTGAATAGAAAATAGATTTTTGATGTAATATTTTAAATGAAAATTAGGTTTCGGATGTGTGTTTTAGGGGGGAATTATTTATAAATAGTGCAAAAATGAAATTGAAAACGCAAGTAAACAATTCCTAACACCCCCTAACTCATATACCACCTCGATATCAGTTACGCATTGAGGGTTTGAGTACAAAGCACAATAATTTAGGGCGTGTGTACATGATGTTTCTTTACATTTTCTTTTTTTCACTATTTAATTTCTCTATAATCTCATAATGTTAGTGCATTGGAATTATACAAGGAAATCTATTACTTAACAAAAGGACTGCTAAAAAAGAAATGATGTCTTGAAGTTTCCTTCAGTGAATGTATGTAGAGTCCATTTTGAGGATTAGCCACAACGAGTTCAATGAAATTCTTCTCTATTCTAACCATTAGAAAATGCTAGAGACACATTAATGCACAGCATAATCGTTAGCTTCTCTGATATCCTGCAGTGGAGATTCTCTATACCATAATCAATCAGATAACTGTATTTAGATGTAGATAAACATACTTCAGAAGGTGAAAGTGGGATTTATAATAGAACAACATACTGGCAACGCTAACTAAATAATCTCATTCAAAATGCTTAGTCAAAGCATGGTAAAATAAAATCAGGATTACCAAGCCAATCAGCATTTCCTCCATAAGCATGCACACGGATGGCTTCTTCAAAGCTGAAAGCATACTCCCCTGGAACGGCGTACCAAGTCTTTGGAGAACCCATGTGCAGGAAATTCAAGCTGTGAAGCTCATGATCTTCCACATGCCAAGCAAACCAGCTGAACAGCATTCCAACATATACCATCGGAGAAGTAACCCCAGGGATATCATCAGGCATAAAGCGTGTCAATGATCCTGGTGATCGAGCTATTACTTGTAAATTCCAAGGACTGTTTGATAGCTTCCAACCAGAGGTACCCTCCATATCACTGCGAACCTGATAAGCTTTCTGTCCAGATAATGAAGCACTGTGATGCATATCTCCTGATGGTAGATGATTTGATGTTTCTGTACAAAATTGATAACTATTTGGGCCATCTGAATCTTTATTATCGCTGATACTATTCAATCTAACTACTTGATCGTTCTTGCTACCAGTGTCAGGTAGACAATTTCTATCAAATGAGTTCCTCTTCCTCCGCCTCCTTCTCCTATATCTATGAAGGTAAGGTACCAATCCTTCTGGTTCACTAAATCCCGAACCAGGCACATCATTCGCGTATTCCACATATATAGGCTTCTCCAAAGCTGCCTTCCAGAACATGGCCTCAACAACTAAAGGATTAACATCCTTCACCACACCTAGATAATTCTTGGCAAAATTCTTCGACTTCGCCTCAAATTGCTCCAGTGTGTAAACCTCCCCACTTTGCCAAACTTGCTTCTGAGCTCCAAATACCCTTTTTCCCTTTTCGCAGCCTAATTCTTGGTGCCTTGTCGTGAAAACTGCCCTGCTCTCCCCTTTATCAAAAGCTGTTCTATCACAGTTGTCCCTCGCATTGCTATCTTTCTTCGGCGGCACCGCAAGGTTTACATCCGAACCCAATTCCGGACACTTGGAAAGTGATTTATTTAAATGATGAAGCACATATTTCCTGGAAGGCTTTGGTAGAGGCGGAATTATTTTACATATACCAAAAGCACCAGCCTCTTTCTCTATTTTGGATATGTAAGCAATTGGGTCTGCAAACTCTGTCTCCGTAGGGCGGAATTCAGGCGCCAAAGGCAACCCCACAAGCCATTGCGGTATTTCCACATTCTTCATTGTCATACCGGTCAAAAACTCATAATAAAACCATAACCACGGGAGAATGGACTCTAACTTTGAAGCTTAAACAGAGCATAAGCTAATGCATTACCGCTTACAGCCAGAAAACACCTAACAACACAATTTCGAGCGAAAAATACAAGTCGATGGGTTTACATTCAGTTGAAACGAACTGCATTCACACCTACATCATTCTTTTAACCGAAATTGAACAAATTTCTCGAAGCGCTGAGATTATGAATGAATGAATTAATAAACGACGGAAAAACCTTCACCTTTAATTGCTGGGGGTCGAATCCAATAGGGCATCAAATTGTAAGCACGGATTGGGAATGGGGGGAGGGTTTTTGAGTTGGGGGAAATTCAATGGCGCGCAGGTTAGTAAACGTGACTGTATGATGCGTAGCCTACGCCGGGGGGCGTATGTAGCGTAGAATGGGATATCTCTGTTCATGGACCGTTGGCTTTTTGTGGGCCACAGGGAAAATTAGCATCGGACGGACAGCGTATTTTCAAATATTATTTGATTAATTAATTATTTTTATTTTATTTCCAGTTCATCCTTAAATATAAATTTACAGTTCACGAGGATACATAAACAAAAATCAATAATTTAATTGAAACGCTACTGAGTCACTCAGTGAGCGAGTCCCCGCCGCGCTCCCTTCTTCTGCTACTCCGCCGATCGACAAACGCCATTTTCGTTTGCTCGCCAGGCGTTCGATAACCGTCGACCACTGGTGGCGCCGTCCGGACGGCGATGGCGATAGGGCAACGATGCTGGACTGAGGACGGATTCGCACAAGATGATAGCTCAGCTCCCTGAATTTGAAGAGTGAGGTTGCGATCCAACCGATTTCCGGCGAATTCTCGGACTCCGGCCATTGAATTAGGCCAAACAAGGGAAGTCTGATTGCTGTACTGCAGACAGAATATGGGAATGTACAGTCTCCCTAAAACCGCTAGTCGCCTACGTCGCCTTCGCACTGTTTTTCTCTCTGCGGCGGATACCTATTTCCAGACCTGTAGTTGTAGGACTGTCATTCATTCTGGTGGACATGTGAATCATCTCCTTGACTTGTCGAACAGATTTTACTCCAAGGCTTACTTGTCCAAATTCAGCTATTTAGTGCGGCCCGTTGGCAATGTGTATCATGAATTTCTTCAGAACTCGTCCTATTCCACTGTAAAATCCAAGGAAGAACGAGAGGAATCGAAAACGCTGAATCGCAATGAAGGTGGTCGTTCGTGGATTGATATTTACTTGCCGGAAAGTATAAGGCCTTATGCCCACCTAGCCCGACTTGACAAGCCTATCGGTACATGGCTTCTTGCTTGGCCATGCATGTGGTGAGCTTATTACTTATTTACTTGAGCTTTATCAACCGTATTGCTATGGTAGTAAATGATTTTTGTGCATTTCATTCTGAGTGAACTGATAGTATTAATTGGTGAACATTGTGTGTGTGTGTGTTTTGATTTGACTTTCTGGGCTGCTATATCAGAAGCAAATATAGCAAATATGGAGGTGCTCGCCTGTGGCAATTTCTCTGAGGTTCCATTTCCTTTCCACAGATTAGTATCCAAAAAAGTATGTAAGATGTAATTAATCATATTAAAAATTTCAGTAGTGTTGCACCGGCATTTGGTTTGAACCTATTCAAAAAAAACTGCCTTCCTTCATAAAAACAAGGTTAAGATGGGGCATTAATAAAGTATTGTCAGAACTTAATCTTGATAACTGTCATACTCACCCTATGCCTTTTGGTCTAGGTCAATTACACTGGCAGCTGCACCAGGGAGCCTTCCAGATATTCGGATGATGTTGCTTTTTGGTACAGGGGCATTGCTTTTGCGTGGAGCAGGTTGCACCATCAATGATCTGCTTGATCAGGATATTGATACAAAGGTAGTTACATTAACCTCTGCAAGCTATAGGTCTTTAGGGCATTCACTATTCACATCAATACCCGTGACATGATTATGTCTTGATACACCAAGCTAATTTATCACCAATTTGATCTTGTTGTTTCACTTCAGAGTTTTGTTTGGTTATTTACTCAGGCCTTGGCCTTGGGTTCCGTGGAGCATCACCTTATGCTGTATGTTATAATGTACATATCCTTCCTCACAATGATTGTTTTGCCTGGCACTATATGGTGTAGGTGGAAAGGACAAGGTTGAGGCCAATTGCTAGTGGTGTCCTCACACCATTTCAAGGACTTAGCTTTCTAGCATTTCAATTGCTTTTGGGTTTAGGGATTTTACTCCAACTCAACAATTTTAGGTTCGTCCTCACATTTCATTATGATAATTTTTTGAACTGTTTTTTCATGAGTTACTCTTTGTTCACACATTATCTATTTCTTTCACAGCACAATTTTTATCGTTCAGTTCTTTTAAATATCGTCAACTTTCAAGATTTTGCTTGATCTGTACCATCTGGTTCAAAGAACATGGGAGTTTCATATGTCCAAAGTAGGTGAAAGCTTACAGTAGACCTGCATGAAGTGAACTTTCTTCCAGTGGAGCTAATCTTAGATGGCAATGCTCTTTTGTAGTGTATGACAAAAATAAACCTGCATTTCCACTTGAGAAAAATGAAGAAAATTAGTGGAAATGAAGGAGAACAAACCAGATCTGCATTTTGCAGCTTGTACTATATGCTATGATGTTATTTCCGACAAGTCAAATAAGGGTCGTCTTCGCAGTGGGAGGAACTCCAATTAGCTGGATTTCTAAACTTCAGAAAATTGTGGCTCTCTTGACGACAAAAGCTGGGTATATGGGAGTTGCTGAGGCTAGCAAAGAATTAATTTAGTCAAAGAATTTTCTTCTAGAGTTGGATAAAAAAACAAGTAAATTATTCAATACACTGTGATAATGAGAGTGCGGTTAAACTTGTCTAAGAATTAGTCTGTCATAGAAAACGAAGCACATTGGGATGAGATATAACTTTATCAGATGATTGCTCAGTGAAGTAATGATGAATTTAAATAATAACATCTCAGATGTTATGAATCCAACAGATATGTTCACAAAGACTGTGACGCTCGGAAAATTGAAGTTATGTATGACTTCAGCTGAACTTCACGATAAATGATGAGAAGTTTGGGGCAACCAAGTGAAGGTAAGGATTTTACAACAGTACAGTGGAGCGTATATGTTTCGAAGCCTCCAAGTGAGATTGGTGAGGTGTAGGCTTCTATAGTGGTAGCTAGCTCTAATAGGCTATTGATTTGAACCCAATTATGCTTAACCCTAATCAAGTCTATAAGTATTATCTTTTGTCCAAGTGAGATTGTTGAGGTGTAGGCTTCTTTAGTGGTAGTTAGCCCTAATAGGCTATTGATTTGAACCCAATTATGCTTAACCCTAGTCAAGTCTATAAATATTATCTTTTGTAATTGTAATAGGTGTGCCTTCTCCTACTTTCAGTCAATAACATAGATCATTGGTTTCCCCATGCAGAGTAAGTCGATAATCCTTATTGGCCAAACCACTTAATTCGTTTGTGTTCTATTTTCTTGTTTGTGTGAGTGTATGCCAATCAAATCCTAACACTTTTCCAATGCCATAGTGGAGTTAGGCTCAAATTCAGATCCATTGGAAACTCTAAATTTTCTGGTAACTCCGAATTCATCGTTATAGGCAATTTTCTTGGAATTGTCACCTTATTAGCTCTCTGTAATCGATGCAATATGTTTGAATGTACAATCAATTAGAAGTCTACTTTACAACCTACGGTTGCACTTTCGACGACTGAGGCGGAATACCTGTCAATGACGGAAGGTATTAAGGAGGGTATTTAGTTACATGGAATGGTGCAGAGTTTGGGTCTGAAGGTGGAGAAAACGGTGTTATTCTGTGATAGTTAGAGTACTTTGGGTTTGGCTAAAGATGTGGTATATCACAAGAGAACCAAACATATTGATATAAGGTTGAGTTTTATCCATGATGATGTTCTAGAAGAAGACAGGTTTTCTATTCAGAAAATAGCTACATAACAATCTAACTGATATGTTGACAAAGACGCTACCAACGGAGAAGTTCGAGCACTATTTGAACTTGGTGAATATTCGCAAGAGGTAAAGTCCATCGGGGCATCTGGCAGGAAGGAGATGACTGAGAGAGATACTGAGGAACTTTTGGCGGTTGGAGAAACTCCAAGTCAATGTGGAGATTGTTGAAACGTGACTTGAATTTAGCTGTCTACCTGACCCGGAACCAAAGCAAAAAGGCTGTTTCAATTGGCAGGGATTTTTTTTGGCCCATCTTAATTAATAAGAAATGTGCTTAGGCTCTAAGGTGTTTTGGGGGTGCTTATAAATAAATAGCTATAGTATGATTGTAACCCTCTGAATTAATATAATAAAATCTCTGGTTTCCACTCGTGGACGTAGGTTGATACACTGTCACCAAACTACGTAAACCTCTGTGTTCTTTATTTATTTTTTTTCTCATTTTCTCATAACAAGGGACCTATATATAGGCAACATAAAGCAGACTCGACAGACTTAAATCTAAATAATCTAATACATGGATAAAATCAAATCTTAATCTAAATCTACTAAGTTTAAAACTGAATATCTAAAATATCTCGACATCCTCCTCAAACTCAAGTGGTGTAACAAAAATCAACTTAAGTTTGCGAGAAGAGTTCGAAGATAATGTGGCCATAATCGTCTATCATTCAAGAGTCAGAAGCAGTACCCTCAACTTAATTAGAATCAGAAATATGAAACTCTCACCAGAGCCGAAATATACGGAACTAAAAAATACGGAACTATCACCAGAGCCGGAAAATACAAAACTGGAAAACAGAGCCGGAAAAACACAGATCCAAAAAATATAGAACTCTCACCTGAGTCGGAAAACACGGAACTGGAAAACGACAGAACTCTCACCGAGCTGGAAAACGACGGGCTCTCAACAATTAAAGGCCGAACTTAGACGCAAAATTGAAGAAAAAACTTGAAAGACGATCAATTGCAAACGAATCTCAAAATTGGAAGACCTCCGCTGACGCCATAAAATCATAAACAAAAATTTCAAAATTGGAGACCTTCAGGTATATTTCAGGTTAAATGTACCCGGAAAAATACGGGTTGGTATATTATATTTATTCTAGGAGAAAAAATAGGCTTTGATACTATATAAAAATAAATGATGAAAACTGGAAAATTGCATTATATTGATCATCAAAATAAGGAGCTTATATATATATATGCAACATAAAACAGACTCGATAGACTCAAATCTAAATAATCTAATATATGGATAAAATCAAATTTAAATCTAAATTTACTAAATCAAAAACTGAATATATAAAATATCTTAACAACATATATGTACATAGTGGTAGATGAGGAGGAAGAAAGTGATGTAGATGATGATATACATGATATTTGGGTGATTTGACAGGTTTTTTGCTTTTTGATGTTTTGAAGTACTTTATTTTGATGGTGGTGTTTAATATTTTGTTATTTTAATGTCATATTAAAAATTTGATCAAATTTAGTGATTTAAAGCTATAGTTTTAAATTATGTAATTAAATATTAGAAATTTATAATAGGTAGGTCGCCATGGCGGGTGCCGTGTTGCTTAGGCGATATGGCAGTTCGAGGGCTCTATGTAATTTAAAATTGATATTCAGTATAATATAAAAAATAAAAAATAATTATTTTATTTGATATTTTTTTGAAGAAAAAAAAAATTGAATAGTAAAAATCTTGCAAGAAATCCTCCGAAGAATACAATCCAAGATCTCTACTAGTTAAGAGTTGTGTGCCTTTAGATTCTCATTTTTCTCGGCCTAATCGGCCTCAAGTTTATCCTATCGTTCTTATTTCAATTGTGTTGTCTCCATGACAACGAATTTGGGATCCGACAAGTCGGACCAATTGATAGGAACGGGATGAATAAGAGCAATCAAATGGAATATATACCGTTTGATAGCCTCCTGACTCATTTATTAAAAAATGAAGTTATTATCTTCCTAACCCTAATGGCTCATCTTTAACTATCCTTGCTAAATCTTACTTACTAAAAAGAAAATAAACCCACTCAAGTTAAAGATATAACAAAAGACGAGTAAAGATGATTAATGAGAGTTTAAACCCGCAAACAGCAGGACTAAACTCATCCCCATCATCTGTATACAAATGACGGCCAAAATCCCCTCCCTTTTTTATTTCAACCTCGTGCTCTGTTCGCTCCTACTCTCTATCGTTGAATGTAATATTTTGAATGAAGAATAGGGTCTTAATGTAATATTTTAAATTAAATTTAGGTTTTGAATTTGACGTTTTCCAGAGAGAATTTTTTTGTAAATAGTTTGAAAATATGAGTGAATAGAGTGTAATTTTTATTTTAAATAAAAAATATAAATTATCATCTCAAATTTGAAAGTAACACTTCCATAAATAATTAGATAGTCCTGTTTTCTATCGTACAGATTATGCATAGCTAATGCTCACTGTTTCAGCACTGATTGTTTCTTACCGTATCAACTAATATATGAGAATATGAGATTCCATAAACTTCAGTTTTCTAAAATTTTAGGGTTTTCAAAAGTTTTAAACAGAACATAAAACTGAAATAAATCAGTCATAGTTAAGTGTAACTTTACTAACTTCACATTAGCACTTTGGCTTGTACTTAAATATCCACCAAGAAAATGTTTTTTTGTGGAAACTCTAGAGGGTGTTCCTTTGTGTCTTAGGGTGTTTTGGTTATTTTGAGGATAGTAAAAATTTTGAATTGAAATAAGTTACAATGCAATGTTTTTAATGGAATAAATGTGATGTTTTGTAGGGGTTGAATTTTATTTATTTTTTTAACTGTCTCATAGTGCAAAACAAGTGTGCAAACACTAGAAACACACCCCTAATCTGTACTAAAGATACTCAACTATTGAGATTTGTCCTTCTCTGGTTTCATTCACTTATTGAACTGCTTTTAATTGGATCCTTTTCATAAATTTGATTGTTACCTGCTTTATATAGTTCCCATTATTTCCCAAGGTGTATGTAATTCTTTAAGTCACTTTTTAAGAAACATGCAACTGTTTTAGAAATTGTATATAATATTAACCTAGAAATTTCAATGCTTGCACTCACTATAAATTATCAGTTGCTGAGTGAAGAGTGATAGATGCATTCCAGAAATGATACTAAAAAGAACATTGAATAAAATGACATTAGGGCTTAATATAAAACTGGTTTGGGTGAGGAATTGAGTTTGAATTGGTTGGTGGACAGGGTTTGACTGAAACTCATCATGAATTAGGGAATAGACAATGGCATTTTTATTTTTCATTTTTTTTGAAATTTTTGGACAAAGTTCTTCAATCTTTTTATTGTAGAAGTATATACTGCAATGTCTTGACAAGTAATATATTTGCAGCCGTGTTTTGGGAGCTTCATCTTTGCTGCTTGTCTTTTCATACCCTCTCATGAAGAGGCTGACGTTTTGGGTATGAATTTTAAACTGTACTCCTAGCTACATTCATTCCCTTATTGCCCTCTTTTATTTTTATATTCCCTTCCTGAGGCACTTCAGAGACAGGGATGCACACGCAGCAAAAAGGTTTCTGTTTGTGTTCCTCGACATTTGCAACATCTGCGCTACATCTGCAACTTTATTCTATGTTGTTGCAGCCACAGGCCTACCTTGGCTTGACATTTAACTGGGGTGCTTTATTGGGTTGGGCTGCTGTTAAAGGAAGTCTTGATCCTGCTATTGTACTCCCCCTATATGCTTCCGGTGTATTTTGGACACTGGTGTATGATACAATATATGCACATCAGGTACAAATGGCTTCTCTTTATTATTATTATTATTATTGTAGTATTAATATCCTACATTGGTCTTTATACATTGACCTTGCAAAGGTATTCCAGAGTAAGCCTTACCCACCAACCCTTACCCACCAGCATAGTTTGATGGAGACCTAACCAGGCACCTATGTAACTTTTGATTTACATGAAATATAAACTTGGCTCTGCAGAAATTCAACCAAAAGCATTTCATGTAGACTTCCAGCCTTGAAACTCAACTTGGATCTAATTTTTAAGAATTGGTCTTCTGTCCTTGTTTGTGAACACACTTTCAGACAAAAGAAAATGGACATAACTGTCTTTACCCCTATGCCACTTGGCTATAGTCAAGTGGTGGCATCCTCCCTTAGGGAGGCTTGAGACCCGGGTTCGAACCCGGGCAGTCGTGTATGTGAAAAAAAAAGACCTGTCTTTACCCCCCATAAATAACTCATTGGGCCATTTTCCATGGGTTATTATTTTTCTTTTTCTTTTCAACATGCATCGCATGAAACTATGGGCATGAGACACTTTTCTGGTAGCACAAATATAGATTCCAAGGCCATTGAAAGATGTGACTATTGTTGGATTCAGGACAAAGAGGATGACCTAAAAGTGGGTGTCAAATCTACAGCCTTGAGATTTGGAGATTCAACCAAAGAATGGATTGGGGGATTTGGAGTGGCTTGTATTAGTAGCCTTGCTCTTTGTGGATTCAATGCTGGTCTTGGTATGTCTTATTTTTTCACTCCCACCATCTTCTTTCTGAATTTTGTGATGTCTTTTAAACTCCCATATATTATTTTGATATAACTTATATGGTTGAACAGGATGGCCATTTTACATGTTCCTATCAGCTGCTTCTCTTCACTTAACTTGGCAGATTGTGACAGTTGACCTTTCAAATCGTGCTGATTGCAATAGAAAGTAAGTAACATATTGCGTACTTTGTTCCAATCATCTTATATCTGGGGTGTTAAATTTTGTGGGTGTAGGCAGGGATTAGATTGTGGATGCGTAATATATGTATATATATATATATATAATCCAGTGAAACCAATGGTAAAGTTGCAAACTACAAAAGTAGCTGGTTATGGATTTGGGCTAGTGGATACTCAAAGAGCATCAAACACATGTTAGGTATCAATGATAGGAAAACTAACCAAGGGGAGGAAACGAGGAATCACAATCAACAGTGTGTCTACACTTGGTTTTCAATATTTTGTTAAAACAAATAGGGACCAATCTAACAGTGGGTGACTGACTGGCTAGTAAAACTTGCTAGCAGTGTAGTTCACTGTCAATCTCCTTGTTTGCGACTCGCTTGTAAGGGTGTGTTTGTTTGGGGGATTGGATTTTAAATACACTATTCATCCCATTTTTCCCCCCCAAAAACATCAAATCAAACACCTATTTTTCATTTTTTATATTATACTAAAAATCAATTTTACATTCAAAACATCACATCAACACCTATTTATATCACATCATACCACTATTCAAATTCAAAATTTTTACTATTCAAATCTCAACTCAAAATCTAAACCCCCAAACAAATTAGAACATAAACTTGTCAGTTTCTCACTAGTCTTCCTACATTGAATATTATTCCAAAACTGGACTTCTAGCGTAAGTTCACTGCAAATTATTGTGAAATCTGGGACAATATATATGCCATGCACATAGGCTTATTCAGTTTGCTGTGATTATTAGGCTGGAATGCTGCTGTCATTCATATTAACATACAAAATATAGTGCAGGAATGTTTGCTCTCTGTTTCTTCTCAAACTAATGAAATCACTTTGTGTTTTCTCATCTTCAGATTTGTATCCAATGAGTGGTTTGGTGCTATTGTCTGTGGTGGGGTTCTTTTTGGAAGACTCATGACCTGATGGTATAGATAACTAATTCTATGTACTTTTTTTCGATTGCAACAAAAAATACCTCTCGCAACTCTATCAGATATACGTTGAAAGATGAACTTCTTTTTGGATTATCAGATATATTGGGTTGATTGGTATATATTCCTTGGTGAAATAAGATTCGATGCACGAATATTAATCAAAATAATCATGAGAATGTTCAATAAGAATTGCGCTCGAAGTATTGCAGATTTGGAAAAACATTACGAAGGCAGCTGCACTCTTTTACTGCTTTTTGATGATATTATACTGAAAAATGCACATTATTAGATTTGCACATATCTTTATTAGCTGATAATTTTAGGGAATACATATTTGGCTCATCCTGACTTACAGAGTTTCTTTTCTCTCTTTTCAGAAAACCTAAATCGAATTACACGAAGAAATGTTAGATAAACGTCACTGTTGTCAAAAGCATCAGATGTATTACAGGTATATGCACACAAAAGGAAAATATCAGGATTTGCATCATACTGCTCATGTAGGCTATCCGGAAACAAGCAGGACTTTTCCTTGTTCCATTTTGCTCGGAGTTTGTAATTTGCTGCGAGAGCATGACGTTATAAGCTTAACTTCCTCACCTTTTAACTATATTGTTCGGTGAAAATTTTGTTGAGTGCACCTATAGGCCATAAAGAAATATATGGCATATGGTATCCGTTGTGAATTTGTACTCTGATCGATGGGCAGCCACAACACAAGAAATTAAAATTCCAGAAAAATATTGCCAAAGATGTAACTGAATGCTTGTAAGTAGGGGTGAGTAGAGTTTGATTTTATTGTACATTTTCTCCGAGAGCATTTAAGACAATTAATTTAATCTTCATTACATTTTTTCGAAGCTAATAGTTACCAATAAACCATCAATCTATACATAGGCTGTAAACGAAGTCCGACAAAACAAGTCACATTAGGCGAACTATGTGTCAGACAAGACTTGAAAGCGAAAGTTTGAACTCATGGTCACAATTTTTATAAATATAGTAAAATTAAATGGCCTAAGTTAACATTTGTACAATATAGTGACTAGGAACTAAAATATATTTCCTCCCTAGTAAGAATTTTGACTCCGACTTTGTGTTGATTAAAAAAATTGAGTTTAGTTTTAAAATTGTGTCAACTTTTAATATTTAGTTTCATTATAATATATATATATATATTCACAAAATATTTCATCCAAATTACCATTCATACAAAATAAATCAACCAAAGACACTAGTATTGAGTAATATATGCATGTATACATAAGTGAGATGGCTTATTAGGTTTCAACTTCAATTTGGTTTATTCACTTCGTGCGTGCGTGTTCATATATATGTGCTTCCATTTTGTATACTTTTTAAGTGAAATCATTATTTGACATAATATTTTTAAGATTTTCTTTACAGAAAAAATTAATTAGTAAAAAATTAAAAACAAAAATGCAAAGAAAACAAAACACTTAAATGCTCTAACTTACATAACCAAAGGCAAAACAAATCTTATTTCATACTCGCAAATCTTTAAAAAATGTAAATCATATATATATATATAGAGAGAGAGAGAGAGAGATCTTTCTGTCGTCGAATTAGTGAGATTTCCATCCCGGATGGAGCTTGTCATGAACTTGGCGGCAATATTGATAGCAAGCCGGCGAACACTCGGGCATAGTTGCATCCTTGATCATCATACAAATTTCCATGCAAAAATCTTGGCACGATCCCGGTGCACCTGTGGGAGCGCCACTACACGAATTCAAATGCCCGCCAAGAATGATGGCCACCGCTATTGCGCACAACAATAACATCCGATCGCCAAATCTTGTCGTCGTCATTCCTTCTCCTTTTAGTTTTATCTTTTATATTTCTTATTCTTGATCTAGTTTTTGTTTTGTATGAAAAATATTGTGTATTTTGTGTGATGAATAATGGACAGAGAGTGATGCACCATTTTTGTAGTAACTAAATATAAAGCTTTTGATTAATGGCATGGAGAATTGTATGGATCTAGGTTGTTATTTTTGTTCACTACAAAATATATATATATATATATATATATTTAAAATGTGGTTGGTGATGCTGGCTATTAGTAAAATTTTAAGTTTAGAACAAGCATATAATAATTGTAGTTCATTGTAATTGTATAAAGTATTAATTCAATTATAGAATACCTATTTTATGACAATTATATACTCTATAATATAGATGAATTATAGATGAATTATGTTATAAATTTTATCTATAATAATTTATATATTTGTATTTATACTAAAATGTAAATATTATACTCCCTCCCTTCATAAGTAGATATTCATTAGCTTTTTGCACGTAGTTTTAGAAATATTAGTATTATATTTGGATGTAGTAGGAATAAAGTATAAATGACTAAAATAACGTGTGATATAAGCGTATTTATAAGTATTGTAAGTTGTAAGGGTATTTGTAATGTTAGGTAAATAGTAAAAAAAAAAAAAATGAATACTTGCTATGGGACGGACTAAAATGAAAAAATTAATATTTTGTTATTGGACGGAGAGAGTATATTATTTACTTTAAATGTAATAACTTTTTTATCCATTCATTGTTTGTTTAATATTTTTAGTTCAAGGCAATTTTATGTAAAGTATAAGAAAACATAATATTAAAATAATATATTAGATTGATTAATTGTTTATTTTTGTAAGCATATAAAATACATCATCCGTCCGCATGTAAGGATCATAATTACATTTGGATCATTGTACTTAACATTAAAAATATTCTTTACAATTTTTTTGTACAAATGTTTTTTTATTAGTATTATAAAACACTAATAGAAATATTTTTGTAATTTTTTTTTTCATAATTTGTACCACATTTGATATAATAATTAATATTAAAAAATCAATATGCAAAAATAAATAATACCACGGACGGACAAAGGCAGTATATATTATGTGAGCGTATATTATTATTTCAATATAAAAAGTTTGTCAATTTAAATTTTATTATAAATAATTTTAATTAATTTTAGTTTCATTGTTAAAAATCACTAATATGGTCACTGATTTAGTTCTTGACCAAACACAACTGGTAAGTGTTTTATCATAAATAATTTTGCATAAAAAAAAAAAAAAAATCTTGGAGAATTTGTTCACTTTGTAATTTTTATAAATATATTTTTTATGTTAAATATATTATATTGATATGTATATATTATATTTTTTTTATTAATGTTTATGAAAAATCATTTCACTTAAAAACACTTAACCCTGTATTAAATTGCATAAAACTAAATTCCATATGATCGAAGTTATAGTTGGATTATTTTGTTTTAGCGTAGACAATTACAAGCCCAAATTAGGTTATTGGGCTTCCGTAGGCCCACTTTATAGGGTCGGGCCCACGTTCGCCTTGGCCTGGTTCAGTCTTGAACCAGTTGACTGTGGCGTCGTCACTCATTTCATTTCATTGCAGTGTGCAGACACAGCTTGGGAGATGGCAGCGGCATTTTTCCCTGTCTTGGTCGTCTCCATCTTGTTGCTTCTCAAGACCTCTTTTTCATCGCCTCCTTCTGACCTCCAGATCCTCCACGCTGAGCGCCAGGTTAATTATCTTTTCCCTTCTGTTTGTGGCTTTTATTATGGGTTTCGATGTTGTTGCGGAAATGTTGATGCCGTTTTTCCCACGTTGTTCGCTTCAATTTTGTCATGATTATTTGCTTTGTGATGATGAAGATGTGATCCGTCGTCTTTGATTCAATTTGGTGCAGATTGATTTGACTTCGCACATCGTTAGAGTTTACTTGACATTGAAGGTAATTTTCGATTCACATCTGTTTTGATTCGACTGAATATGGGCAATTTATCGTGCTTATTTTTTTAAACGTTGTGCACTGTGTGTTTGGGCAATTTACTTGCTTCTTGCCCTTGTCTGAAACCTAGATAAATGCTTCTTGATTTCTATTATTCGTATATTTTTCATTGAATTGATGCAATTTAAATTGGTAATTTTATAAAGAATTAAAGTTACAGGCGTTAATTCACTCAAGTGCAATGTAGTTAGGCAAATTTCAAATGGCAAATCTGTTTCTCATTAAAATTCACGGGTGATGTTATTCAACTTTTCTGTACTTTGGAGAAGAATAGAGTGGATGAACACCATTTTCTTAGCAATGGACTATGTTATTTGTAATAAATTGGCTTGTGTTCGTTTGGAGTTTGGTTTTGGTTTTAATAGTGGTTTGGATATGATATTGTTTGTAGAAATAATGCCCTTTTATAGAGAATAGCAATGGTTGCATGGTAAACCAACAAAATTAAAAATAGAAGTAAAATACTGAAACCAACTAAAACACAATTGGTTTTGGTTTTCCAGTTTTGCAATCTTAGCACAAAGCTCCGAAATTCATGGGTTTGTTTTCACATGCTCAATTGTGTTAGTGTAGGTAGAAAATATCAACGATGCTCCAGCTTCAGAAGTTTTGCTTGCATTTCCACCTGCACAGTTTAACCATCTGGCACTGGTTAAAGCTGCTGTAGCTGTTGGAAAGAGGAAGAAGAAATCATACGTTCCCCTTCAAGTCAATCCAGCAGAGCAACCTGATGCACCTAACGGAACCAAATACTATGCTGTATCATTAGCCACCCAATTAGGAAAGGGTGATTCTACCACTCTAGAAATATTTTACATCTTAACGCATTCTCTTGAACCCTTTCCTGCAGAGATAAGCCAGTCAGATTCCCAGTTGGTTTATTACCACGACAGTGCAATTATTCTGTCACCATATCATATCAAACATCAGGCAACAGTGGTTAAAGTTCCGAGTAACAAGGTTGAATCATTCACACAAGTTGAACCCTCCCACCAGAGTGGTACTGAGCTAAGATATGGGCCATATGAAGACCGCAAACCTTATTCATACTCCCCAATAATCATACATTCTGAAAACAATCACCCATTTGCTGTTGTGGAAGAACTAGAACGTGAAATTGAAATATCCCACTGGGGAAGTGTTCAAGTCACTGAGCATTATACGTTAGCTCATGCTGGTGCAAAGCATAAAGGTATTTTCTCAAGGTGAGGCTTACAAATATTGTAACAGAATTTGTTTTCAGAATATTTTCAATGACCATACATTTCTCTAGACTGTCTCATCACATATGGTAATATGTGATTTTTGTTGCTGTTGTTTTTTTAATTTCTGTTTTATTTAATATATGGACCAAAGGATATTTAAGAATAGTGACAAAATACATTTGTGGGTAGTGATTTTACTTTTATCTGTATCATCTTCCATTTTTGAACTGAAAATGGCTGTTGTCTACCTGTCTGTTCTTTCAACTCTATGTTATCTATTTTTCACAGGGTTGACTATCAATCCAGACCTATAGCTGGTGGATCTTCTTTCAAGCATCTTCTTGCTGAGCTACCCCCACGTGTTCATTCTGTGTACTACAGGGATGATATTGGTAATATATCATCATCACGGTTACGCACTAGTTCCAAGAAGGTAAGCTGTATTCTCCCTTTTGTAGTTTTGTTATTACCTGTGCAGGACAAGCTGGTTTAAGGCTGTTGAATTCACAGTGCTAAGTCTTGGGAACGCGATTCTCATTCTAGAAGGATTAGTTTTTTTATTACCATCTCATTCATAATCTTTTTCATGTGTACTTAAAATTCTTTTGAATTGTCGAACTTTAAGTAATTTGTAACCAATATTACGTCACTCTACTCCAAAATTTGACTAGTAACTATAATGCGGCAGAACTGATATAACACGGTTCTTTTGTGGGTACAAATTGATATCATTCTGCATTATAGTTGCTTGGGGCTGGGGTTTGTTTCATTTCATTATCATGTGCCTTTTTTCTTAAATATCTATATGGAGAATTACTAGTTGATGATTAGTTGTATGAAACCAAGAAATAAATTAAGCCAATAAATCACTTTTATGCATCCTGGAGAACTGTTTTCCACGAACAGAATGGTAGCACTAAAACTTTTCTACAAATTAGTAAAGGTATATTTTGTTAGCGGAAATAGTTATTTTTATAGGAAATCATGAAGGTAGCAACTAAAACTTTTCTACAAATTAGTAAAGGTTCTATATGTATGCACATATATGAACACTGAATATATGCATGTTCTACCACAGAAATTGTCAGATCTACATATTTTGTGTATTTTCTTTCTGATGTAAATTGTTATAATATTGGAACTGTAGCCAGTGTTATATAAATAACAAGACAAAATGAAAATTATTTGAATTTCATCTTATGGTCTTATGCAGTCTGAGCTATTAATAGAGCCACGGTATCCTTTATTTGGCGGCTGGAAAGCAACTTTTATCATTGGATACGGCGTCCCACTACAGGACTTCCTTTTTGAGTCAGCTGCTGGTATTCGATACCTGAATTACAGCTTTGGGTGTGCTATTTCTGATACTATAGTTGACAAGTTAACAGTCAAAGTGCGTATGATGATTTTATTAAAATGTGTTTTTATTATTCAAGAATTTCTCCATTTTGGTTTCCTTAAGGTAAAAAAAATGTAAATTCACCAATGCAAGAACTCTGTTTTTAGGTTGTCCTTCCTGAGGGGTCAAAGGATCCTTCTGCCGAAGTCCCTTTTGCAGTTGAGCAAAGATTAGAGGTAACTTTATTAAATTAACTCAATTTTAATTAAACGGCTTCATTTTTTCACTATTTTTTTTATATACTATTGTTTTCATTTATCCACAGAAATTACACTTGAATCATGTGCTTTATTGTTTCAAAAAATCTCTTTTCCTAATTCCAGACTATACTTCTATCACTTTCAAGAATCGAATCTCTTGTCAGCATACTGGTTGGAAGTTTTTCAACTTTTGAAAATTCTATAATTTTTTCTCAAGAAATCTGTTAAGTTTCAACACTGTGGAGCAAGCACCGTCTCTTGCAACACCACCTTTCTCAAATCTATTTCCCCTTTATCTGCAATATCATGATTTGCCTTGACTACTGCCTTCTTTTGTCTACTTCTAACGTGTTAACCATTCCATACTGATTCTTTTCCATTTTGCTATTTTGACAGAAAAAATACTCTTACCTGGATGTTATTGGAAGAACTGTAGTGGTCTTGGAAAAGAGAAATGTAGTACCCGAGCACAATGTTCCTTTCCAGGTAATTGATCGATGCAATTAACTTGGTTGGTCTCCCCCTACTGTGATACTACTCATTCATGAATGGCTGGAATATAGTTTCAACCACAATTAATTTTCACCTCCTTAAAACACAACCCTTATCAGCATCAATTTCGCAATTTTGTCGTGCAGGTGCATTACAAGTTCAATCCAATATTCATGCTCGCGGAACCCTTGATGCTGGCTTCAGCATTTTTCCTCTTCTTCATCACTTGTGTTGCATATCTGCACATCGATCTTTCCATACGGAAATGACTTGACTTGCCTTGCCTAGCAAGGTATTTGCTTATTGTGCTTGTTTATGACAATTATGAATTATCCGCAATGCTCTAATGTTCTTGCACTGGAGTTCATATTTCGATATTTCATGTCATTTTTTACATGACTAATTTTCGTGCCAGGTTGGTTTGCCTGTGACAGGAAGCAGCTCGAAATTACAACAATCCGCTCGCAGAACATTATACATTCGGATTAGCCGCCAAAACGGGACAAAATTTGTAAAACATGCACCATACTAAGAGACACCATTTTGACATGGCCCTGTATCGACTTTTATGGTTGGAGGTACGGTGTATTTAATCTAGATAGTTGCCTGCATCGAGCTTTTGGTTTTGTTTCGGCACAAACTGATATACCACATAAAAGCTATGCAATATACAATTACCCGTCCTGAAAGAGATGACCTAGTGGTGTTAGTGAATTTGTTATATGGGTTCAAATTCGATGTGGCTTTTGAAATTTCTTGCAATTATGAGTAGGACTTCAATTTAGTTGGAAGAAATAAATCCCTCGAGGATTCTCACGATCAAGAGTAATCTTCTTCAAAATGAATGCACAACCCAATCAATGAAATATAAGGAACAACAGCCTCAGTTGTCATAAAATAGTTTCATAAGTGAAAAAGTTTTGCATATTTAGTCCTTGATGTCGGAGATGTCTGCTTGGAAATAGTTTCATAAATGAAAAAGTTTTGCATATTTAGTCTCGGATGTCGAAGATGTCTGCTTGGAAATAATTTCATAAGGGAAAAAGTTTGGCATATTTAGTCCCTGATGTCAGAGATGTCTGCTTGGCATCATTTGCATGGCATGTCGGAGGACACTATTTGTCATGTCAGTGCCACTAAAGTGGACACATAGATAATTTATTATTTTCTTATTTTAAATTGATGTAAATTTTATTTTTCTATTTTAAATTTATTATATGTTATTTTTATACCTCAATTTAACATAAAAATGTAATAATAGATTACAAATGCAATTGTTACAATATTTTTATATCAATCTATAATTTTATTTTCTATTCCAAAAAAATATTTTTTAAAAATTTTATTTTTCATATTATTTTAAACAATTTTTTATATCAACAATTCACATTCAACTTTTATTGTTATTTACATAATTATTTATAATTACTAATAATGTGTTTATAATTATAATAAATAATAATTTATTATTAACAACTTTTTTTACAAGTAGTATTAGATTAAATACAAAAATTACAAAATGTTAAATTAAAACAAACATTGCATTAAATATGAAAATTATACAATGTTAAATTAAAATAAATATTACATTAAATACAAAAATTATACAATGTGATTAATTATGTGAATTACTATATTGCTCACATATATGTTCAATCAATTCATTACAAAGTGACGTATGAACTTTTCTATCTAAAAGTTGTTTGTATTGTTGAAAAAATGCTTCGCGTTGAGTATATTGGCCTCTATAGGTGAGGGCTCGTGCTCGTGATAGGTTTTATAAACTGGTAGAGCTCGTGCTCCTAGTAAGTTTGTAGCATGATAGGTTGGGGCTTGTGTTCAGGGTAGGTTTGTGCTCCTGGTAAGTTTGTAGCATGATAGGTGAGGGCTCGTGTTCAGGGTAGGTTTGTGCTCCCGGTAAGTTTGTAGCATGATAGGTGGGGGCTCGTGTTCAAGGTAGGTTTGTAGAATGATAGATGATGGTTCGTGCTCGTAGTAGGTTTGTAGAACGGTAGGTAGGTTGTTATAAATAGTAAGTTTTGCTTCACAAACTATGCACCTCACATTTCTGTAAATTTCAGGAGATATGTTTTCTAAACGCTCTGTTAAATTCTCCGATACTTAATGTTTTGTGGGGGTTTGAAATGACGAGACGTATTAGGGGATTTATTTTCTATATATTTTAAATACATCAAATTGTATGTTGTTTACAATACCAAAGGAATTCGATATAGTATCATATCATACCGAAAATTTGGAATAAAAAATATTTTAATAACATTTATTTTATTAATCTATCAAATAAAAAATATTTAAAATAATATTTTATTATAAATATTACATCACTTAACCAAATCAATTAACTATATAATCCAATATTTCTTAATATGTGTGCCTAAAAGAAATGACACCAATTTAAGGAGAATAAAGAAGTATTACTTTTTATATTTTTTTAACTATAAAATGCAAAAACAATAAAAAGCACGCACCATGTTAAAATTTAGACGTAAAAGTTTGAGCACATATTTGGATCACAAAGGTAATACTCTATTAATCACAACTCAATTTTTTTTTTTTTTTTTTTATTATTTTCGCACTATCTTACTCAGAAGTATATATTATTTATTTTAGTAAAATTAATCACACACAAATATCAAATTTTATTTTTAATTTTTACATAAATTACAAATATCTCATTATATATTGAATTTATATATAAGTATAAAAGACAAAAATATCAAAACCTATAAAAAAATAATCAAATTTTAATATTTTACGAAATGATTGAAAACCTATAAAAATAATAAATTGATATATATTTCAATAATCATAATTATATATATTTTCCAAAATTTCATAGAAAATTTTTAAAATAAATCTAATTTATAATTTTAAATTACGAAGTATCCTTCTCTTTCCTAATACCAAAATATCCTTATTTTTTTTTCTTAAATTACAAATATCATCATATACAATTACTTTATAAAAAAAGTGAAAAGCAAAAATGTCAAAAAATTTTACATATTTTCACTAACTATAAAATACTACTCCCTCCGTTCATTTACAAGGGTTAGATTTATTTTGGGCGGTGTTTAAGAAATAATAGTACTTTAATTATAGTGAGTAGTTAAAAGTAGTGTAATGACATTTTTGCCTTTACTTTTTTCTGTAAAAGTAATAATGTGATGTAAAGTAAGGGTATTTGTGAAAAAAAAAGTAGGGTATTTAATGAAATGTAAACTTTGTAATTGGACGTCCCAAAATAGAAACATATAAACTTTGTAAGCGAACGGAGGGAGTATTATTTTTTAATTTACTACAAATTTCCAAATTATCCCATTTGATTTGTTGATGACATGTGATACAACTGTACGAAGAATCCTATAAAAAAAATAATAATAATTAGTCTAATACCAATTAAAATGAAAAAAAATAATAATAATTAGTCTAATACCAATTAAAATGAAAAAAAAAAAAAAAAATTGCAACACGCAATAATTGCAGGATCCATATAAATTCCTATAAAAGTAATCCATATAAATTCCTATAAAAGTAATAACATTATTTTTAGTGGAAATTCAACTTGTATATTAATTTGAGTTTTTTTTTTTTTAATTTATTTTTATTTTTATTTTGGATTCGGTTCAAAATATTTTCAACCCGTCTGATTTGATTTGAAGGAACAAAAATCAACTAAGTGTTGGTACTTGATATGAAAACTAGGGTTTTCAACGAATATGGCCGGACAAATCTTTGTATCATGTAGAGTTCACTTTCCGAATACAATATTTTGATCCTTACTTATCTCGGGTTACACAAAATTTATATTAGGATAATACAAATATTCAATTCTTGATTTCAGCTAATAAAATCAAAAAAATAGATGAACAAAAGAAATATAGTAAAAGCTTTTAGAAAATATAATTGTATTAAACTGTATTTTTATTTATAGAAAGTTCTAGATTGATGGTCATGGCTAAATGACCTATGGCAATAGGACACTTAAGTCCTTCCCACATAAATTTTATTCCCATTGTCATTTCACATTAGATTTACATAATAAATTATATTTAAATATACAAAAAATCACAGAATACACTAAAATTCTAACACTAAACATAAAAAATCTAAGTGAGAATGAAATAGTACCAGAGGAAGAAGAGGTAGACATCGATTCAGCAACGAAAAAAATCTTAAATGGCAGCAAACAAGAAAGACCGCGGGAGTCAACAAGAAAATCTTTGACGACAACAAACAAGAGAGATAGCGAGAGACAACGTCTAACCGATCTCGAAAAAAAAGAAAAAAAAGATCAAAAAACACTTATTAACGTTTATTTTGTAAGGGTATAATAATAATTTAAACGAATTTCTTAAATAAAACTGATTTTTAATGAATTAATTAAATAGATAGTATTATATAGAGAGCTTTATTTGATTAGATAAAATAGAGGGCACAGAAGAAATTGAAACAAGAGGATTTGAACCCACCTCATACTGTGTTTGTTTGCATATCTCAATCCAACTTCACACTTACCGGATGGGATCAATAGTTGCATATTCTATCACAACCGGACTGTCTAGAATTTTTTTGGGCTCTGAGCAAATATAAATTATAGGTCCTATAAACACATGGTTAAAATGTATTTTTAAAATAATATGACATATTGACGTCAATTGGACAAGAGGTTGAACGTTTTGGGCAATGTCCATTCAAAAAAAGAAGATGAAAGATGGACTATCCGGAAGCGACAGCGTATGAGAAAAAAAATATAGACGACAATTAAATTTGGTAATATAGTATGATACATGATTACGAAGAAGAAATATAAAAAAAAATTATTATAGTTTAAAATTTAATTTTAAAATTAAATTGAATAATTACGAATAAAAAAATATAAACTAAAATATAAATTTTAATAATAATAATGTATAATATTTTAAAATATATACTCAGGGGCTGAGCCATAATCAGTTGCTAGCTCTTGCTAAGAACAACAAGATAATAAAAATAGAAAAAAATAAAAAAATTGATAATGACACATTTTAAGTGTCTGCAATTGTGATATCTTTATACAATATATGCATATTGACACATGCAAGATAAAAAATATAAAAAAAATTGATCGTGTCACAATATGAATAGTCTAATTTCCTATTCTATTTTAAGTTAATTTAACTAATAATATAAATTAAAAATGTTAGTATTCAATATTATATATTTAATGATATTTTTTAACAATATATAATTTATATACTTTTTTTTCAATTTATGTTTGGGCGAAAAAGCCGAAAACCATAAATAATGGCGAATTACGATGTCCGTTAAGAACACGAAGGGTAAAATGGTAAAACCACATGGTGTCCGTTAGCATGTCTATAAACGAGGGAAGACACAAAACGGGAAAAGCGCGAAGAACAGACAAAAAAACAAAGACAAAAAGGAAGACGGAAGACGAAGGAAGAAAACTAATTGAAGCTAAAGGGAAGGTTTCTTTCATTTCTGGTTGCATTCTGATTCTCAACCCGATTCTCTGATTCCCGTTTTTGGGATCAGAGAATCAATTCGATCGTCAATCAGCTGAGCTGTCGGGAATTTGAGCCAAAAGGAAGGAAGATGGGAATGGTGGAGATCGAAGACAAAATGAAGGGGTGGCTTTACCTGTTTCGACACAATCGTTTTGGGCTGCAGTACATACGCAAAACATTCTTCATTCTGGAGGACAACATCCTCAAGAGTTTCAAAGCGATTCCCAAGTCCGAGGATGAGGTATTGAACGTCTCTTCTTGTTTGTCATTTTCGTATCGAATGATGTTGATAGATGTGATTGATAATGGCTTGTGTGAGAGATCAATTAGGGATTCGAAAGGAATAACTATGTGTTTAAGAAATAGATATGAATACTGCTGTTAGATTTGATCTTCATTGCCTATTTGGATATCTCTGGAAGAGGAAATTCAGATTTTATGGAATAGTTCTGTTAATGAATTAATAATTATCTCGAGATTAAGATAATTGAGGAGGTTGATTTTTCGTGCATAAACTAAGCTCTGTGTAGCCATGCGCCATTGTGGTCATATGTGATGTTCATGCTACGTATCGAATATTCAAAGGAAAATTAAATTGACTATGAAAGGAAAATCTACCTTTTTTCTTGTTTACATCTTGTCATTGCCTATTGAACTTTGTGCCTAGTATCAGAATCTAAATCAAATTATTGATTCGTTCTATTCTAAGACTTTAATGGAACAGCCATGTTTAATGCAATATAAATATAAATGACTAATGATGCATCATTTTTTAACCACATGATATATGCTATTTATGGGATCTCTCTGTAATTTACAAAATGAGTATATTCAACCCAATTATCACTTAGGCCTTATGTTGATTGGTTATTCCTGTCAGGAGCCATTGAGAAGTGCAATAATAGACTCCTGCATTCGTGTCGTGGACAATGGAAGAGAGAGCCATCACAGAAAAGTATGAGTTGGAAAAAAAGTTATTCATACAATCTACATACAAGAAGAATATGAAAGATATAATTCTTTTGTTAATGTGCTCATACGAATATCTTGTAATTAACTTGCAGATATTTTTCACTTTTACCATTTACAATACCTCTAATCATAACGATAGGATAAAGGTATGCTCCCGCCTTATTCAAAGATCAGAAAATATTGCTCATCATTCAGGTGGGTAACAATTCTTAAATTTTGCAGTTGGGAGTTACTAGTTCAGAAGAAGCAGCTAGATGGATTCACGCGCTGAAGGATACTGCACTGAACCAGGAAAAAACATCCTACTCGGAACGTAAATGGCAGCCTTTCAGGTTTGCATTATCCTCTCAGCCTCCATCCCAAGACACAACTATTTCAAAGTGAATACTCTAAGGATGTTCGGTTATTATGACAAGTTGTATAGCAATATGATAATTTGTTTTCAATTTTATTGTGCACTCAGAGTAGCTTTCGAAACGCTTTATTAAGTTTGCTGGTTAAGAGAGCTAAGTTAATTTAGATAGCTAGATCTTGTTTCCTCTTGTTTAAATGGATCAAAGAATCTTATACTAACATGTTATCTAACAGCATGACTGTATCAAAGAGAATGCTGAGCAAGAGGTCGAGATCAGTGGACTGGACTTCCACATCTATGCATGTGAATGCAATGACATCTGATGTGCTAGCACCTTCGCCTTGGAAGATATTTGGCTGCCAGAATGGTAAAAATGATTCCCTTAATACTTTTGGTGTTAAATTTTGTAGATATTGAAAATTACTACTGATATCTAACTTATATTTCCTTCTTAGGATTACGCATCTTCAAAGAAGCAAGAGATAAAAATTCTAGTGGGAAGGTAGGAATACATATATACTACTACATGCACTCGTGTAAAAATTTCTTAACTTGCTTTCGTGCCTTATCTTTTTCATAAACTTTTGAACTGTTCTTCTCAGCATTGGGATGAAAATGCTGCTGTAATGGCTGTTGGAGTCATTGATGGAGCTCCAGAATCCGTCTTCCGCACTATAATGTCGCTTGGTGCTTCCAGAACAGAGTAAGCCGACTAGATCATTCTCCTTTTACACAAATTGGTAGCTTCAGATCAATTGCAATGCAGCATCAATTATAATATGTATAAAATATTTTACATGCAGGTGGAAATCAATTATAATATGTTTAAGGCTGAATGCATTATTTATATGTATAATACTTGCATTCACCTGAATATTGCTTGTTTCAAACTAGTTTTGTTAAGGGATTGAGTACTTTTTATATGCAGGTGGGATTTCTCTTTCTACCGGGGCAGTGTGGTCGAAAACCTTGATGGTCATACAGATATAATTCATATTCAGCTTTATAACCATTGGCTACCATGGTCAGTACTCAGTTTTATAACCAGCAACAAATAAGTTTATGAAAGTGTGTGGTTGATCATGGTATCTGCAGGGGAACCAAACGGAGAGACCTCTTGCTGCGACGGTACTGGAGAAGAGAAGATGACGGCACATATGGTAGTACTTTAAAACCTGGCAAGTGCATATATACACTAGATAATTGACTCAATTTTTTCATTTTGGTTGCAGTGATCCTATACCATTCTGTGGTCAACAGAAAGTGTCCTCCCCAGCCTGGATATGTCCGCGCTTGCCTTCAAAGTAATGTACTTTTCAACTGTATATATATATATCACTTATTCATATTTACTTTAAGTTATCCCTCAAGATTAATCGATATATGTACACACACCTCAGGTGGAGGATATTTGATCTCTCCTATTCAGCAAGGCAAACAATGTGTTATAAAGCACATGCTTGCTATCGATTGGAAGTTCTGGAAGTCCTATTTGAAAAGATCATCTGCAAGATTTGTCACCATCCAGATGCTCAACAAAATTGCAGGTGAAGAAACATTTTCTACTGAAACTCATCTTATTTCCAGCTTTAATTCGCCTAAACTATTACCTTCTTTTCGGCAGCACTGAGAGAACTATACCGAGTACAATCAGGGAGTACAATTGGAGAATATGTTTCTGCAGAGCCATCTCTGGATAGGGTGGTTTCTGAGAGTAACATCGAGGCAATTAAGAGAGAACTTGTCTTGAAAGAGGAACAGAAGGACTTGGAAAATGAACAGTTGAGACCGCAGCTATCCGAAGCTTCTACACTATCTGCATTAAGTGATGCAGCTGATGAGTTCTTTGACGTGCCTGAGCCTTCTGATGACGACACTTCTGAAGTTGACTGGCAGACGGGAATGAGTCCAGAATATACTTATGTGGTGCTTCTCTTAACTTTCACCTCGAAATTTCTTTTCAGATACATCAGTACTTTACCCTCTTATACGATTATTTTTTCTGTGCTGATGTATAGGAGGATGTGCAACCAAAATTGTCATCTGCTGCCAATTTCGTGAAAAAGTTACACGGCCTTGCAGGTTAGTCTATGCCGAAAAATGTAATAAATATACTGTTAGTTAAGCAAACAAATGTGTTAGGACTAAGGACTCGGAATTGTTTATCTCTGTAGGCCAGAAAAAAGGCTACATGGAACTGCAGGATATATCTCGGGAAGAAAGTGTATGCTTGAGCTATGGCTCAACACTCCCGAAAGATTCCAGTCACAACATGCCTTGTAGCTGGTCATCTGCTGATCCTTCTTCTTTCCTTATCCGCGGAAATAATTACCTTGTCGACAATCACAAGGTTGCACTTTAACTTCATACAACAAGTTTAATGATGCTTTTGATTGAAGAATAGTAGCCTGTTTCGATGGCTTCATTTTTTGTCAAGATCATTGCAATCATCCAATTATGTCGGCTTCTGAGAAGAAAATCTCTGTTTTTTCAGGTCAAGGCAAGTGGCACTTTGCTGGAAATGATTGCTGCAGACTGGCTGCAATCCGACAAACCTGAATATGATATTGCCGGTCGACAAGGAAGCATTGTTCAGGTTCAATAGACACAATCTTTCCATGTAACTAAAATGAGGCTGATGAAATCATTTATGTTGATATTGATAGACCGTCGCATGAGGCAAGAAAATGTTCGTTTTAAAAACAAATGCATGTCTTATATATTCGAGTCTCTTACAGTAGTAAATTGTACAGAAATATGCTTCTCTAGGAGGGCCAGAATTCTTCTTTGTCATCAACATTCAGGTCAGTACCCGATGGCTTCTCTTCGTATTCTTCTTGAGAGTTAGAAATATTTACATTATTCGATAATCCAATCAGGTTCCAGGCGCAACAATGTACAATTTGGCCTTATATTATATGCTAAGAACTCCCATAGAGAAAATACCATTGTTGGAACGCTTTGTCAATTCAGACGACACCTTTAGGAACTCAAGATTGAAACTGATCCCCTACATTTCGAAGGTTCGGATAATCCTCTGTTTTTTTAGCTCTATAACATACATCATCACCTCCTACAAGTCACACATTCGTTAAAACATCATCGACAGGGATCTTGGATTGTGAAGCAGAGTGTCGGGAAGAAGTCTTGTTTGATAGGCCAAGCTCTTGAAACCAAATATTTTCGAGGGAAGAACTACTTAGAGGTAAAGTTCTGCACAAAATATATCCATATATATATATATATATATATGATCGACTCTATTTATCCAAAAGCCGCGCGCAAGATGTAGTGTCTTATTTCAAATATACTAACCATAAATCTTCTTCGCCACTTATCATCAGGTGTGTATCGACGTTGGCTCATCAACAGTGGCGAGGGGCGTGGTGAGCCTTGTCCTCGGATATCTCAACAATCTTGTCGTCGAAATGGCATTCTTGCTCCAGGCAAGACCATTTTTCATCGGCTTCTTTATATAAAACATCACATTCAATCGACTGGATCTGATTATTGTGCTCTGCAGGGTAATACTGAAAAAGAGCTGCCGGAGTTCCTTCTCGGAACGTGCCGGCTCAACTATCTAGATGCATCAAAGGCAGTTTCTACTGATTCCATCCACGCCCCTTGAGACAAGGAGTTAACAACATCAGATCAAGTTTTTGATGAATCGATTTTGAAGCTTGCATTGCATGCATTCATGGAGGTCTGTTTTTGCCTTGTGTTGATATTAATTAGTTTACTTTGATTATTTATATTCATTGGATTGGGGGGTTTTTCTTGCTCTCATATTCTTAGTATTTACTAACCTTCTATGTGTCTTTCTTGTAAGAATATTCACACTGAATATAGTTATTTGAATTTAAATTCAATAATTGTAAATGGAATATATATATATATATAAATATATCAAATACTGTAAATGTAAGGTTGTAATTCTTTTAGTATTTAATAAGTTTTGTTGAAAATTGTGAAAATATTATTTAAAATATATAGTTACTATTTGTTGTTTTTCAAATAATTTTTGATATAAAATATCATATTTTTATTGAGAGTAGTATATGATAATTGACATGAATGTTAAAAATTGAAAGCAAACACAAAATAAATATGGTTGATCTTGCTAAGTTTATGGGATGTTGCGACAATTATGCTATGTAAATAAGTTATATGATAACAATGTTTCATTGCAAATATTTTATTGATTATCACAAATATGATTGTAATTTATAATGTTACTGTTATAATTCTATAAAATTGTACTTTGTTAAGATTTTGTTGAATTCATAATGCTAATTATAGGATTGGAACCACAAAACTATGAAGTTTGATTAATTAAAATAATTGTTGTTGTAAAAAAAAATAAAAAAATAAAAAAGAGTTATATCAACAAAAAATTAATAGCATAGCTTAACATAAACTGATGTTTTAAAGAAGAAATTATAAGATATATCTCATCAACATAACCTCTAAAAATTGGGTATAATCTCCTTGTAATTTGGTTTTAGTTGTGAAAATAATATTTTAATATATTTTTTATTAAAAAATGATATATTTTTATTAAAAACTTTCTAACTGTTCAATAAAAATACTGAAATTAAATGTAAAGGAAATATAAGTCAATCCAACCTTTCATTTGATTATGAGCTGCCAAATTAGATAGTAACTATGAATATTAATGTGTAAAAAACAAACAAATCAGATTTGAAGCAAGTATTGAATAATCATAATGATGTGAAGTTTAACAATGAGTAAAATATTGTGATGAAAAAAAAAAAAAAAAGTGAATTCGATTATATTCTTTTAATGTTATGATTTTAAGTTTCTTTTGTCCAACTATACTGATTCCATATAAAAATATACTTCTTTCGTTCGCCTTAAGGTCACATTTATATTTTATGTTATTGTATTTAATATTAAAAATATCTTTATATTTATATTTGTATAACTTTTTTATACAAATGTTCTTATATTAGTATTATAAGACAATAACACAAGTATTTTTGCAATTTTTTCTTAATTTATTCTATATTTTGATATAATAATTAATATTCAAAGATCAATGTGCAAAAAGTAAATAAGATCCTTAAAACTAGACGAAGGTAGTATTATTTTAATTCATAAAATATTATATTTAATATTCAAGTAAAAAATTTAATAAATAAAGAAGAACTTCAAAAGAACAACAAAATGTTTGGAGCTACAAGATTTAACATATTGTATTTTGGTTTGTTTTTCTTAATCTTCAATTCTTTTAGTATACAATGTCACAATTTTTTATTAAAATCTTTTTATTTTTCATATAAAATATTACATACAATAATTATCACCTAATAAAAATAAAATACAAAAAGAATAATTGAAGTTGATATTTTTTATGTAATGTACAGTTATTTTTAATTATTAGTCTATACAAATTTTTTAAATTAGATAAAAGGAAAGGAGATCTAAAAAGTTGGGAAAGAAGAGGGCAGGCGGGAGAGAGCATTTACTCGGTTGGTATGTTTCAGATTAGTGAAGTATTCTTCTTAAAAGAGAGCACTCTGGTTGTCGGAGTTTTGTTATTTAGAATAGAGCTATGACCATTTCTCTAAAAGGTGATAATAAACTTAATTTTGTAGAAGTTAAAATTCTTATGCCTTTTGATCCTGAACTTGCTGAAAAATAGAGCATATGCTATGTTGTAATCATGTTTTGGTTATTGAATTTTTTTGATAAATCAATTTATAGAATTCTTGTTTTCTATGGAATAATCTCTAATACGTGAAAATACATTAAGGCTGTGTTCGTTTGACGGATTCTTACCCGATTTTACTGTTGAAATACTGTACAAAATTCAAATTAAAAATCCTACCCATATAACCTAGCCACGTTCCTAGACCGTAGGTTTCCTTTCGCCTTCGCTATAAGCAGAATTTGTCGGGAGAATCGGCTGTCTACTCACCTCTCCTCTGATCTGATTGACAGACTGGACGGTAGGTGAGGCAATAAATAATCACCATTCTTATTACGGCATCTCGATTTCGGATCTGCGGTGTCCTCAACACCGGCGTCTCAGTGGGGAAGAAGAGAGGTTCGGCAGATCAAGGTGCAACAAAAAAAATTGCCAAAATTTTTTTATCTTTTTGATGTTACATTGCCAAAAAAATTTTACGTTCAAAATATCACGTAAATCGTTTTGTTTTATCGCATCACACAGCAATTAAAATTTAAATCCTTCATCGTTCAAATATCAATTCAATATCAAAACCTTCAAACAAACAAACCCTTAAAATAAAAATAATAATAATATCTCCAAAAAAATTTTAAAAAAAAATATTTTAAAAATATCAATTCCAACCTCACTTTTCACTTTTACTTATTTTAACAATATTTAAATATCATTCGTTTCAAACTATCACATAAATACATTACCTTTTCTAATATAATAATAATTTTTCCAACATAATCATTACAAAATTCAAACCTTCAAACAAACACAACTTAAAAATTTATACTTACAAATCTTCAAAAATTCAAATCCAAAATCCAAACCCTCAAACAAACACATCTTAAGAGTACTTATGAAAAAAAAAAAAAAAAAAAAAGAACTAATATAAATAAATAATTTTTTTTTGTTTCTATTAATAATACTTCCACAAAAATTTCTTTAATATATGATATTTGTGATGAATTGATTAGGCTTGTGCTTGAGAAAATTGACTCTTCTCGGCGCAACGTGGCAAGTATCTTCTCCACTCAGTTGTGTAATTTGGCTATGTATAATGATTGGATTGTTGACTCCGGAACTAAAGACCATTTGGTAGCTGACAGGGCGTTATTTTGTGATGTTAAATCTATTGAAATTGGTCATATGCGTGTTACTCTTCATACTAAAAATTTTGTCATTGTGGTTGAATTAGAAAAAAGATACATGAGTGACAAAATCGTTTTAGAAGATGTACTAGTTGTTCCCGAGTTCAATTTAAACTTACTATTTGTCAGTAGGTTTTCTTTCCTAGAAATTGTCACTGTAAATTTCTTGAAAGACGCATCCATAATACAAAGTGTTTTAGATGGAAGTCCATTTGGATCAGCTAAACTTGTTAGAGGATAGTAGGTACAATAACTTCCAGTTTGTCTCAAGCTGAATTTCTGTTTTAACATTACGAAAAATGATAGTTTTACCTTGTGGCATCTTCATTAAGGACACCCCTCTCATAAAGTGTCAAACCTCCTCAAGAAATATCTTGGTTTGTCTAGCATGTCAGAGTAAGTCTCCATTTGGAAAAGCCAGAACACATTTTCCCCTTCATTGCTCACAAATCAATAACTATATTCGAACTAGTTCATTGTGATGTTTAAGGTTCCTATCATGTAGAAACTATAGATTATTTTAGATATTTTCTTACATTAGTAGATTATTTTTCTTGTGTCACTTGGGTTTACTTTATAGAAAATAAGTATCAAGTATTTACCTGTTTGAAAAAGTTCATTGCCTTAGCTAAAAATCAATTTGATAGGAGAGTCAAGTTCTTTAGATTTGATAATGGAAATGAGTTTGTGAAATCATCTCTCACTAATCTTTTTAAAGGGCTTGGGATACTCCATCAACCCTCTTGTAGTTATACTCTTCAACAAAATAGAATTGTTAAGCGTAAGTATAGTCATATCCTAAATGTAGCTAAAGCCCTTATGTTCCAAAGCTCCTCTCCCGGTAACCTCTTGGGGAACTGAATGCTTGCAGCAATTATCATAATAAATAGACTCTTAACACCTCTCCTTGACAAGAAAAGTCGCTTCCAGGTTGTCCATAGGCGAAATTAAGAATTAAACACAATAAAGGTGTTCGGGTGCCTATGTTTTGCTACTAACTTGAACACTCTTGATAAGTTTCATCCTAAAGTTAAACTTTCCTACTTTTTTGGCTATTTTGAGAATAAGAAGGGTTATAAAGTTCTAGATTTAGAAAGCTTTGTTGAGTTGTGTTGTATAATGTTGTCTTCTATGAATCAGTGTTTTCTTTCCAGTCTATTGCATATACTTCTAACTCATCTGCTTATAAATATGTGCCATCACTTGATGCATACGATGATTTTCTTGAGATATGTGAAGGTAATCATTTGGTGACACCCTAGGATGAGGTTCAAAATGTCTCTTTAAATATGTATTTGAGTGTTACCAATGTAGCAACACAATCAGTATTTTAACCCTATCATTGTAATAGAGACAACTGATTTAAATTATGAGGTTTTTCCCAATAAACGACATGCAAGCAAAAGACACTACCTCCATTCCTACCTTCATAACTATCAAGTCTCTATAGGAAATACTGCTATTATGTATCCCCTAAGTGTTGTGTGTTATCCACCAACAGAACTATCTAAAGAAAGCCTCTACTTGTTGGACAACTTAGACAAGTTACTTAAGCCCCAAAATATTAGAGAAGCCATCTTTGATCCTAAGTGGAAATAGACTATGGATCTCGAAATGAAGGCTTTTATTGATAATAAAATTTGGATTATTTGTAATTTTACTAAGTATAGAAAGCACGTTGGATGTAAATAGGTGTTTAAAATTAAATACAAATGGAACAATTGAGAGGTATAAATCTAGACTTGTTGCTAAAGGTTTTTAATCATAAAAAAAGGATTAGATTTTTATGAAAATTCTCATAAGTGGTCAAAATGCCCATTGTTCGATGCGTGAATTCTTTTGTTGTTGCTTTTAATTGAGAAACTTTTTAATTGGATATGAATAATACCTTTTTGTGTAGTGATCTTTAAGAAACTATTTAT